TAATGTTGTTATTAATATCATAACACAGCAGTGCCACTGTTCTCGTTATTCTAATGAGCTGTGTCTCTTTCAGGACGATTGAATAACATTTTTAATTATTAATTAGATTTGTTTGGATAAATTGTTTTATTAATGGAGTAATAAAAACATTTTCTTTAGCTGAATCAGTTTGAGTTTGTTCATGCAGCAGCATCGTGGTACTTGGTGGGGAAAAAACGTCTGACAGAAACCGTCAGTATTCAGTAGGTTGCTCTGTAATGATTTGGTTCCTCGAACGGTTGCAAATCAACAGTTAGGAGAAGAAGAAAAAGAAGAAGTGGTCAAACGTTGTGATATAATTTCCAGTGTGTGCACAACATGATGTGTTTGATTGCCACAGAAACACTTCCTGTTGATATTCACACACCGTGTTATTAACTACAGTGTCCTTGTGTTTGCTGTTGGAGGAGCACCACCTGCCTGACGGGGCCCGGTTCAGGGCCAGAAAGTCTCCAGACCAAACTGAAGATGTTCTCTCTTTAGAAACATCCTCTTTTGCTTTCTATGTTGTTTTTCCTTCACTTCCTTGTTTCTTTTTTTTTGTCTTCCCTTAAAGTCAAAAGGCTTGCGAGTGATTGGAAAAGAACGTCCTTCAGGCTTTCAGGCTGACGGAGAAAAGCCTCAGGAAATGTTCCTTAACACTGTCTCTGCCGGCCTGTCAAACAAACTCCGTCCAACGCCGCCGCGCTCGCCGCGCTCTCAGCCTCTGAGAAGCTTTCACACAGACGTCCTCTTGTCTTTCTCATCTTTTGATCTCCTGCGGTCTCAAACAGCTGTTCTTTGGTTCCTCTTTTCTTAGCGTTCCTCCTCGAACCGGCCAGAACGGCATGAACGCAACATGTGGGGGAGTTTCTATAAGTGGAGGTGAGCGACAGAAAGGGCTGACTGTCAGTTTTTTTTCTGTGCGCCGCCCTGCTGTGTTTCTTACCCGAGGCGTTTGTGTGTCTGACCGTGAAGCGCTGACTCAGGCCGCACATTCGAGGACGGGCTGAGATTCTTTGTTTCACTGACCAAACAGAAAACTGCGATCTGAAAGTTAAGCTGGAGGTCGACTGTCTGCTTATGTCAGGAGATACGGGCCACCGAGCAGCGAAAACAACAGAATATAAATCCCCTTTTTGCAAAGTAACAGTATTTTATTGTTGCAGAGCTGAATATAAAGACGCCAGTTTCCCTGCAGACGCCTGGTTGATCATAATGAACCTGATAGAGGCAGATATTTAGAGCTTGGCAGATTCCTGACAGCTCTGGAGATGGTTTTTGTTTTGTGCCGCTTGTTTGATGACACACAGACAAAAAGGGGAAGCGTTTGTGTCGGCATTGTGGGAAACCAAACACCGCTCTAAGCCAACACAATGTCAGAAACGATCAGACTCCACAGGTGTGGACGTGTGGCGAGTTTTCACCCAATGATTTCATCAACGTCACTTAATCCTGGATAACCTGCTGGTTTTCTGTTCTGGTCCAGAGCTGCGGCGATTGATCCATCAGGCGACTGTTTTGGTTTTCTTTACGGCGTCGGAGGCGGGAAGTTAAAAACAAAAGACTGAATTCCTCCCAGCAGAGTCGTCGGCTGAGGTTGAATTTGAAACGATTCTTCTCATTATCGTCTTTTGGGAGGTTGTGATGGACGTCACTTTGTGGAGTTGACCAAAACCAAGACGTATTTAATTTCTTGGCATGTGTGGTCGATGGAGACGAGCTTGTTTATATATGAAAAGCTGCAAACATTAAAACTGACTGAAACATGAAGCTTCTTTCTAGGGACGCACCGAAATGAAAACTCTCGGCCGAAACCGAATTTAATGAAAAACTTGAATACCGAACAAGTACATTCACATTTTACCCATTATGTTTTACCGCTGCATAAATTAAACAGTCAAAATGAGCTTTTCCCTCAGTGTTTCCCACAAAGATGTGGAGAGACTATGGTGGGGGGCCCGGGGCCCACAGGGTCCAGTGAAGTAAATGACATGTGTACATTTACTTCTAATGGACACATGTAATATGTTTAATACTTTCTGTGAATATAATCCAGTTAATCTTATTTCCATCCTGTACAGACGCCTTATTTTGAAAACCGGACGTTGTCCCATGTGTTTCCTCCTCGCGTTTTATATCCATGTTTTATGTGGTTCTGGTCTTCACAGCCTCTCTTCACACTAAAGAGACAAACTGACAGGATAAAGTCTCTAACCTTCCTGTCAGCTCGCTCTGGGCCGCTTCACTTACCGTAAAGGCTTGAATACGTGTGCACTCCAAATTCAGGTGCGGCTAACTTAACCTCCTTCTCACAGACGAGTGACAGAAACACAGAAGCGGTTCTTTTCTAAGAAGTCAGCCACAGATGGAGCGGATGTGCTGAGAGCTGCAACGATTAATCGGTATGAAATTAATCGCCAGATATTTTGATAATTGATTTATCAGTTTGAGTCATTCTTTTAAGAAATATGATCTAATGATGTAAAAATGTCCCGGTGTCTTTGCTCCTCAATGAGTAAACTGAATATCTTTGGGTTGTGGACGAAACAAGATATTTGAAGACATCACCTCGAGCTTGGAGAAACATCAGCATTTTTCACAATTCTGACATTTTCTACAACAAAAATTATCAATAGTTCCACCCGAATTACAAGTAATCAAAAAACGCAAGATGCAAATGTTTGCCTCCACATTTTGAGGCTTCACACTCCTTGTAAACTTTGCGCCGCCTCTGTGTTTGTCAGCGTTAAATGTTGCTTTAGGGCTGAAAGATTATTGACATAGTCGAACATTTAAACATCAGTTGACAGCAATTTTGACGATTGTATGTTTAAATCTCTGGTTCCAGTCTCTCAGATGTGTTTGTATCGTAATAAATGAACACCAGCAGTTTGCAGGGGCTCCGGGAGTTTGTGATGTTTTGCAGACTGATTGAAAACATTATAGTTTTAATTTAAAAACTTCAATCGTCATCAGTTGTAGCCCAAGTATACAAACTCCAACAAGCAGCAGGGGATTAACAGTGACTCATACTGTAGCATTTGTCACTGAAACCACCGACTTCAACTCAGGAGAAACGAGTGTTGAAAATAACCCTGAAGTGCTTCTGTCAGCGTTTCTCTGCGTGGAACCATAGTTTGTTTTCTCAAGTGTGATGGCAGTCAAAGGAAACCAACAGCAGAGCTTCAGAAACGCCTAACCCTAATGATTCCTGCCTGTTTATCTTCGTGTCGGGGCGTGTTATAAAAGGAGCCGGGCCTTCATGCGCCTGGCCAGAGTCCACGGCTGATGTTTGTCTGCCGACGATAAGCTTCTGCTGCAGGCCTGTGTTGCTGCTGTGATGTTGATAGAGACCGATGCTTCTCACGTCTTCTTTCACCGCTCTCGGCACAAACACGGTGAACATCATCAGATGATCGACATCATACCAGCAACATTAAACATTGTCACTACAGTTTCAGCGTCGGTACCTGTAGAATATGTTTTAACTCAACACCTCCCTGGATCCGGCGCAGATTAAAATCCCTGGAGCGTTTCCTTTTTTGTATTAACAAGGCTTTTATTGTAGAGAGATCAGGGCTGTGTGGACACATTTTAAGGACCTTTTAACCATCAAATGTTCTGCATTTTTGCCCTGAAGAATAACTCAAACGATTAATAGATTACAACGATTAATCCAAATAGTGGCCGAATAATTTTCGTACGATTGGATCAATTTAATCGCTGCAGCTGTATTTGTCAGAGCACCTTTCACTGAAGAACAGTTTTAAAACGCAGCTATGATAAACAGTAAAACAACATAAATCAAAGATGCTAAGTTGCACGCATAGATGTGGACGTAGCCGCCGTCACGGCACCCGTTGGTTTGAAGCCTCCAGTTTGGTATTTTGGTATTTTGCAACCAGATGTGACCATGTTTGGACGAGAGGGTGGAGCTAGCCTGGATAGCAAAGTGCATCTGTAATTCATGTTAGCGATGATATTAGCTGCGATGCTAATTTTGACTAGCGACAAACAGGCTTAAAAGAAAATGTAATAAATGGAAAGATGAGCAGCCGACTCCTGAAAATCTTTTTCAGCGGTGCTGGTTAAATGTACAGAGAGCGGCGGATACGACCATAATTTACTAAATGAACATCACGCTGTGTTGAAGAAGACTTGAAACTCATCAGGAAAGTGTTTACTGAGGGAATAAATCAGCTGACAAGTAGAAACATTTTCTCAGAGACTTTGTTTCTGCAGCCGGTGGAGTCGCCCCCTGCTGGCTGCTGGAGAAAAACGCAGGTTGCTGCTTGGTTGAACCCTGATGATAGAAAATCCGGTAAGATGAATAAACAGGTAAAACAAAGTTGGCCTCGTCACCTGCTGCTGTGTGCTGCGAGACAACAGATGAAACTTCACTTTCTCTTTGTTTTTTATTCTCTGCTTCACTTTCTGAGTCGTTTCAGCTGGTCTCTGTGTTTCCTCTGGGACTTTGCATGGTGCTGAGTCACCCTGTTGTCTGAGTGTCTGAAGACAAAGCCTTTGTTTACACTGACCAGCTCCCTGCAGCTGCTGGTGTCTGCACACTAAACAAGGAGTACTGCTCGCTTTATATCTGGCAGCGCTGGTACATACAGTATAGTCTGTGTGTGTGAAAACCGACAATTATTTATCAACTATATTTTCTTTTGAGCAGTTTTTGCTCAAGAAGACAGCTTAAAAACCAACAATAATAAAAAGCAAAAGGTCATAAATAAACATAAATAAAAGATTAAGCCTGATGAGATAAAATAAGTAAATAAATATGATTTAATAAATAGACAATCCAAGTAAAACCTCTGAACTGGATTAATTCAGGTTCAAAATTATTGTTAGTTAATGTTTTATTTTGGTGACATGTTGGACTCTGTATTGGAAATTTTGATATCTGTTATATTAAATCCATAAATTCCGAAAATACTGTCATAAAAAACAAAATTTTTCTCCATGTTCTCCAGGATGCCGAGGCTGCTCTGCCGGTGCGTCACCAGTCTCGGGCCTGGTGCTGGTGCATGTGCCTGGGCCTCGCCCTCATGCTGTCTGGGGTGGTGGTTGGAGGAGCCTACCTGTACCGCTTCTACGTCCTGGAGGTGAGCAGGCATCCCCAACAAGGGTGGGACAGTTCCTCCTACGACACCGAGGTAAACTGAACCATCGTCAGGAAACGGAAAAGGAGCTTTAAGGCTTCATTAGACTTAGATTTGACTTCAGGCAGGACGACTCACAGCTTCAGTATTTACCTGATGTCGTGCCTAGGAGCTGTTAGCCACTCATAGAGCTGCTGGTGTCGTCTGCAGACACACCTCACAGGCTTCACAACGAACAGGCAATATAAGGGTTGATTCAGAACAGATCTAGAAACTGTAAACTGCCCAAAACAGAAACGCTTGAAACAAAACCCTGCGATTCAGAGCCTCAGTTTTATTCTTATTTTTGAGAGACAGAAGCAGAATGCGCGTTCACGTCCGCATTCAAAGGCTCGAGGACGGAAAAGCACAAGATGTTACTCACAGGAGAAAATGTGAACTGATTAACTCGACGTGTTGCAGCAGGTAAACTTTCTGTGTCAGTCAGCTCCGCCTTCCCGGGCAGGTGTACTTTGAAACCCTTAGATAATGATCAGACCCATCCGTCTCACCACACTGAGGTTTATACCTGCAGCATAATCAGCCGGAAAAAACACACAAACTTTTCAGTATTTGACTAAATCTGTTGTGAACGAATCAGAACCGAGACTCCATTTGAGAGTTTAAGCTTCTCAGACTTTAGATTTGGCCGCTTTTCCTCGTCCTAGAAAAGGAATAATCTTTGGGTTTTGGACTGTTGCTCAGACATTTTGTACATTTCACGTTACAGCGTTTGTTACAAAGTGCTTCACAAAGCAATAAGAAAAAATGAAAAACACAGTATCCATGGAGAAAAAACAGAGTGTTGCAGCAGCCGAGCAGGAAAACATAAAAGCATGTTTGACAGTTTCGGTCGCTGAAGGGCAAAAAATATTGTATTTTAGCTCTTAGCTGCAACAAACCACTAAGGGGAGCCGGGGTCGATGTGTGTTGTGACGCAGTAAAGACTGCCGCGACACGTCATCACATCAATGCAAAAATCCTGAAAATCCAATTCAGCAGTTCTGGTAACAAAGTTGAAGCCACCTCAGCACCAACAGTTTTACACAACACAAACCTGATTCTGCAGATCTCCTCCTTTATCTGATTTTATGTTTCATTTCCTCTTTCACTGCTCGTTCTTTCCCAATTTAACGGTGCTGAAATCTTCCCGAGCAAAGCTTTTTCTAGCTTTGTTTTGGGAGTGTCTGTATAAATAAAGTTTATCATAGACACCAGCAGTGACACTGTGTTGTATCAGAAGCCAGGTTTCCATCCAGATGTGCTGAACATTTTAACCAAGCTTTCAGAAAATCTGCAGAAGAGTCGGTCTCATTGATGTCGGCTCAAACCGTCCCACTTTTCTGTGTCGTCCCTCAGGAGGGCCAGGTGTTTGTGTGCGGGGTGAACTACCGCGAGGAGGACTTCATGATGCAGGAGGAGGACGAGGTATGAGACCACACACGCACACACATCACCTCCCGCTGCTGATCAGGCGTGCGGTTGTTTGTGTTCAGGACATGTGACTTCCATTTAAAACGGCGCGCTTTCGTTTTGTGAGGGAACATACTGAGTCAAATTTACAAACCCCTGCAAATGTACTCAGCCAGAGAGAACAAAGGTTGCGACTGACCAAAGAACCGGCGGCGTGACTGGCTGGTTGATTAACCGGCCGGCCTGGTTTTGCAGGTGGCGGTGGAGCTGCCGAGCCAGTTCCAACTGCGACAGATCGAGGAGAGGATCCGGGTCCTGGAGATGGAGCAGGTGGAGCTCATCAACGTCCCCGTGCCCGAGTTCGACGACGGAGACCCTGCAGACATCGTCCACGACTTCCAGCGGGTGAGGCGCCTCAGACGAAGCCCCGCCCCCCTTCATCCCACAGACTCAGCTGTTTGAATCACTGATTAATTGAATGATTAATATCTTATCAGAAGTTACTTTCTGTCGATTGATCATAAACACAACTTATGAAAAGCAGATCTGAATGAAAAATGAAATTCTCATATATTAAACTCTGGCAGCTGAAATTCAACACTTCCTGTGGTTTTTCACATTAAAAGCCCACCAGGGGAGGAAGTCTTGTTGAGTTAACTGCAGTAAATAAATGCAGGATTTATGGTATTTATATTTAAAAAGGTTTGTATGTTATTAAAAAAGAGGGGGTTTTTTTTGTAAAAGCTAGTTTTCTTGGTCTTTAAATGTTTCTCTTCCGTCTCAGAGGTTGACCGCCTACCTGGATCTGAGTCTGAACAAGTGCTACGTCATCCCGCTCAACACCTCCATCGTCATGCCCCCTAAAGACTTCCTGGAGCTGCTCATCAACGTCAAGGTACCAGACGACCTCCCTACAACTAAAGTTTCACCTTTGATCCAGTTTGCTGAGCTTCACTCTGATTCCCCTTGTTCTCTGCCCCCCCCCCCAGGCCGGCACCTACCTGCCTCAGTCTTACCTGGTCCACGAGGAGATGATGGTGACCGAGCGCCTGGACCACGTCGACCAGCTGGGCTACTTCATCAAAAACCTGTGCGAGGGCAAAGACACCTTCAGGCTGCAGCGCAGAGACAGGATCCTGGGTAGGAGCGGGAAGCCTTTCTCTGCTTTCTGATAACGCTGCGTTTAAACAAACAGCGGTTTCCTGGCTGCTAGCTAACATCTGCCCTTTTAAACGGGATTTGCTTTGAGTGGACGGAGAGCCACAGAGAGGAAGCTGTCGTAGCTTATTCAGCCATCCAGTTTCATTAAAGCTTCTCTGTCAGAGTAGAAACTGCTGCACAGAGAGAGACGGTTTAAACGCAGGACGATAAATAAGTCTCTGAAGGTTCAGGCGGAGCCGGACAGCTCTTGCGGTCTGCGTCGCCGCGACTTGCAGTTTGAGTTTTGGGGAGTTGCGCGTCAGGCGTAGATTTGATGCAGAAGGATAAATTGAGTAGTATGTAGCTGCAGTACCGTTTCAGGACCCCAATCCTAGGACCGGATTTCTAGGACCCCGCTGCAGCCAGTTACCCTCACCACACTCCTCACCGAGTGTGCGCCTAAAGCGAAGTTATTCATTATATGCATGTCGACCGGTTAACCCTACAGCTTCGTGTTGCTGTGCATTACCGCCAACACTCCACTAGATGGCGCTGTCGCAAAAGAACCACGGTCCTAAAACGGCGGTCCCAGGATTGCAGGGGTCCTGAAACTGCAGCCTCCGGTTCTGCAGCTACGTACTATTGGATAAGTTGACCGTCGTAATGTACGTAACCACTAGGAGGCAGCGCTACATTCAGCAAACCGCGATGAAAAGAAAAATGAAGCAGGGAATCTGACTCGCGTTTTGTACCTTGAACGCAGCACGTTAACTCTTTCTCTCTCTCTTTCTCTCTGGTGGTCTTGCAGGGATGCAGAAGCGTGAAGCTCTGAACTGCCACAAGATTCGCCACTTCGAGAGCAAGTTTGTGGTGGAAACTCTGATCTGTGAGCCTTAAGGGACGTCGCGGCCTCGCAGCTGCTCTTCGAGTCACTGGCGTGCAGTGAGATCTGTGTTTTTAATCCTCGCCTGTCCTTTCTGTTTCCTGTCCTTTTCCTTCAGGTAGTCTGAGTGAGTGAGAGGAGTGAAATGTGAAGCTGTTTGAGTAAATCGTCATCGATTTAAAAATGGAAACAAAAGAGCTGTTTATTTTTCCACTTTTTCTGTACGGGGGTCTTCTTGGAAACATTATCTTTTCAGAAAATAATTAGCTTTAAAGTCGGCTGTGTATAAATAACATAAATTATTTTAATCAAAATAACGGCATTTATAGCATGAACACTCGTAATTTAGTAGACGAGGGTAAATTTAGTTTGCCTTACTTTTAAAGAGAGAGGGCGACTTTTCTGCCGCTCCTCCTGGTGTTAGAAACAGATCAGTTTTTTTGGGGGGGGGGTTGTTTTCGTTTTTGTATTTTGTCTGCTGTAGCTAATAATACACTGCACCTGTTCTTTCTTAACTGGGAAATGATCTTAAAATAAGAGTGTGGGACACTCGCTTCTCCTGTTTGAGCTTTAAAAAAGAAAATGAGTTTGTAAAAGTATTAAACAAGAAAAGAGATGAAAGAGTGAAATCACAGGAAGAGACACACACTTACGTTAAAATCTTTTTCTCGACGGTTGTCGGTCTTTTTTTTGAATGTGTAATTTTTTGGATGACTCTTCTTGTTGTACTAATTTGTGTATATAATCTCTTAAAAGATATGAACAGACCAACACAATAAACAAAAACCGACGGAAAAACAAAACCAGTGTTGTCGTCTGTTTTTCCCTGAAGTTTGCTTCTTAAGAATCATCACAGACGGGATGAAAGACGCGGACGCCGTGACGTCACCTGGTGGTTTTGAAGCGTCGCCATCTTGTTTTTTGGGACTAGACGTGACAATGTTTTGGTAAGAGGGTGGAGCTGGTTAGCACTGGTAGACTACGTACAAGTACTGAGTATAAATTAGAGGTATTTGTACTTCCCACCTTCTACTTCTACTCGGCACATCCCAGCGAGATATTGTACTTTTTACTTGACTACATTTATCTGACGGCTTCAGTTACTTTACAAATTAAGGCTAATAAATTAAACATTTGCTGCTTTTCCTTTTAACTATTTTAATGTATTTCATATAATTTTGCGGTTTAGACTGACAGAACAAGCGTTAGATGCTGTCACTTTGGGCTTTGAGCAGTTGTTTTAAATGTTTTTTTTCAAAATGTTCAATGATTAATCCACAAAAAGTCATTAATTGCAGTCTGATACAAAATAGTTCAACCTCAACCAACTGCAGCAGTAACATCCTGCTTTATATCTGGGAAGAGATCCAGAAGTTTCTGCTGCTGCACCTCCAGACTGCAGAGCAGCTTTCTCCCCCAAACTATCAGACTCTAATTCATCCTCAGCACTGCTCCACTGATGATAGTTTAGCTCATAATTGATTCTTTATTAATGAATCTTGTCTGCTATGTAGCAGAAGGGAGTCACAAAACTCAATTTCACTCTATAACTTGTTATGTTGTGACAATAAACCTACCAACCTTTTACATGAATGCATAAATAATAATATCACGTACAATAACAGTTACAGGCAGTTCTTTCTGTTTATACATGCAGTACTTTTATTTGTAACGGAGTATTTTTATAGTGAGCTATAAAGTAAGCTTTACTTAAGTAAAGGATCTGAGAACTTTATCCAACACTGTTTGTTAGCAAGGTGCATCTGTAATTCACATTAGCTGCAATGCTAATTTTGACTAGCGAAAAACAGGCTTAAAACAAAATGTAATAAATGGAAAGATGAGCAGCCGACTCCTGAAAATCTTTTTCAGCGGCGCTGGTTAAATGTACAGAGAGCGGCGGATACGACCATAATTTACTAAATGAACATCACGCTGTGTTGAAGAAGACTTGAAACTCATCAAGAAAGTGTTTACTGAGGGAATAAATCAGCTGACAAGTAGAAACATTTTCTTTCTGCAGCCGGTGGAGTCGCCCCCTGCTGGCTGCTGGAGAAAAACGCAGGTTTAAGGTTTCACTTTTCAGACCTTACTTGCTTTTACTACATGAAGTCAATAATAATTCTTTCCTGGAAGTATCGGAGTAATATTGCACCACAGGTTAGTACATATTGTATCATCATAAAGGTTGGATATCAGGAGACATGCTAACTGCTGTAACTGTGCCTCTGCTGTGCCGGATCATCTGGTGTGTCTGCAGCCGTCGCCTCAGAGGCCTGACCCCGGATCAGCTGTCACGGCCGGCCCATCGGCCTGTGTGTCATCTGATCACAGTGGAAATTTGTCCTTGATTAAAGTACTAATCAGAGGGCCCTCGCCCAGGGGGATCATGGGAAATGGGCCAGGTGGTTAGCAGCGGAGTGTCACCTTGAAAGGATCAGAGAGAAGCCGGCCACATCATCAGCTCTAATAAAAATCTTTTCCTTTACATGCTGGACTTTTATTTTAGTGCTTTACAGAAGGAGAAAATGGATTAGGACAAGACATAAAATACCGAAGAACATTTACTGCTTAAAAACTGTTTTTAAGTACTCCCACTACTTCAGTACTTCATTTTGAAACTTTTGGGTTTGAATAAATGAAATAAGCTCTGAACCGTTTGTGTGTGGCCACAAAGGGTTCTTTGTTTGTTCTTTATTTATTTCTTCCCTTTGGGAAACCACGTCTTGCTGCGATATTCTCACAATAAGATCTCCACGAATCACACTTTTCACTCCTGTTTTTATTTTGGAATGAGAAGCTAAAAGCTGCTGAGACAGCGTCAGAATAGATGGATATCTCTGCGCACAGAGAGGAGGTCACATGTTTAGCACAAAGACTGGCAGCAGGAGGGAAGCAGGAAATGCACCAAGTACCTCAGCAATAACCGAAGAATCTTTTTATTCTCAGAAAACTAGATCAGCAAAAACCAAAATTTCAACAAAACAAGATGTTAGAAATACTTTTAGCCAGATTTTAATCATATATTTCTTGTACATTTTGTTCTGTGACTGAAAAATACATCTGCCCGCTCCAGTGGACGTTCTGCCCCAAAGGGTTCACTCGGCCTTATTCTGTGTGTTTTATTAAATTAAATTACTCTACAACAACTCCAAAGCCGTCTGATTTACATGGTTTATAAACATAGTGCCTGCACAAAGTACTGTTGAGTGTGTATAAAGACAGAGTACTTTAATAATCCCAAAAGAAAATGTACCAACAAGCTGCTCTGCTCGGGCTAAACAGGCGATATATCGCTAGTTTCCATCCTGTTTTGGCTTGTGATCCCTTAAAATAAAAGTACAACTCAACTACATACTAATTACTGTACATGTTCTGCGTACTAATACTCACAGCATACATTCAACCACCTTAATACTAAAGGGGAAATTGCACAATACACCACATGTTCATCAAACTGAGACTTCGCTGCCCGGTAATCACCACAAACAGGAAGCTTAATGTCTTCCACTAAATCTCTCTGCCAGTTTCACCACCAGCCTCATTTTATTTATCTGTCATCAGCTGCCACGTTTCCTCTGTGCATTGCACTGTGGGAGAATAGTGTGCATGAGCAGCAAAAATAAATAAATAAACAGTGTTTAGTAGAAAAAGTTGATTATTTTTATTATTATTATTATTATCCGTCAAAATCAATCAATCAATCAATCAGCATTTTTCAAGTACTTATGTAACATACTTGTCCTCCACTACACAAATAATCTACCTTTGACTTTACTACATTAATTTCACGGCTTTGTGTACCCATTACTTTTTATTTTAACGATTGGCTTAAACAAAACATGTTATGTTGCATTGTTATAGATATATCATCGTTTATTTATCATTAAATGACACTAGGTTCTCTTCTGCAGTCAGTCTGAATCAAAATATACAGCGGATTAGTACATTTACTCAAATACTTTCAATGAGTATTTTCATTTTATGCAACTTTATACATGTACTCCACCTTTTAGAGGCAAATCCTGTACCTTCAATATCAAGTTTTACTTTGTTTATGAAGCTTCTACATGTAAAGATCAACCTAAACATATATGTTGCATTGTTTTGCATAAACTACACATATCAAGGTAGTTTATTTATCGTTAAGCAACACAAGGCTGTAAAATGAAATGAAAGTTTGCAGTCCTTTTAAGCTGCACACACAGAACTTGGCAGACAGTGAATGTTTATTAGAATATGGTAAAATATAAACGAAACAATATAAATATAGTGTAATCTGTCCGAGATATGTGGATGCATTTTTATTGATTCACGTTAACCCCTGGACTTGCGTTGATGTGTCGCTGTGAGTCCGTCTGCAGATGATTTAAATAAAAACCTACAGAAGTGTTGGCTTCAAGGCGTTCATTTCTGCAGCGCGACAGTTATTTCTGTACATGGCAGAATGAGAAAGAGACAAGATATTTATCTTGTACTTGTAGGCGGACGGGGGCGTATATATATGTACATGCATGTATACACAGAGGTGTGGACTCGAGTCTCTAATCTTATGACCTTTAGACTCGACAAGAAAAAACACCCTCACCAAGCCCTGAACCAGCAATCCCCCAACTCAGGACAGAACGTATTTCTCTTTCTCACTAGTAATGATCAGGGTCACCTTGGCCTAATATTCAAATATTATGTGCAGTTATCTTTCACAAGATCTTCTTAAGGTAAACTATTTTAAAAAAACGTATGTGCATCAGATGTGCAAAAGCAGCCGTGTTCAGTTCTCTGCAGTAAATATGTTCCCAGTTGCAAACATTTACAAAAGTTCCTGTCAAATTCCATAGTGAAAATATACAGGTCATTTTTTACACGTGTGTAAAATGAATGTAGAAATACAAAGACTTTGTTTGTTCACACAGTAAGAAAGGAAATCTAAAAATAATGATTTGTGATGATCAAAAGACTTGAAATACTGAATGATGAAATTCATTTATTACAAAGAAACGTCACGTTATGTTGAAAAGCGGTGGGGACATAAGGGCTCAGATTAGGACGATGCACGAGAACAAGACGAGAAGGTTTTTAACACTATTTTGAAGAAATAGAAAATGCTGAAATATCTGAGCGGGGGATCTGGAGAAATTTATGGTTGAAATGTCTTTAATTATATAAAGAGAAACAAAACGTTCAGCTGCCAGGTGACCATTCATTAATATAAAAATATAAGAAAATAATGCTGTAATCATGCAGCAAGTTACTTTTTTGCACAATGCACTTTTGTTTCTTCCATATTTAAATTGCATTGCATGTTTTCTTATTGTGCAAATACACTTTTCTCAAAGCATTTTCATTTATCAGTTACCTTTTTTGGTGCAAGCTATTTTCAGAACATGTTTAACAAATGCTTTCAAAAAGTGGTGGGGACATGTTCCCAGCGTTCCCAGCGTCCCCAGCGTGAATGACACCTATGATAGAAACTAAAAACTCAGTCGGGTCACTTTTTACTGATGTCGTGCATCAAAGGGTTAGTAAAATGTGTCACAGGGGGAATCTTACTGCATAAATAGATACTTTAAAGTATATTTTGCTCAGAATACTTCTACTTTAGTTCAATTTCCATCACTCTCAGATATAGTAACGTACGCCATGAATAACTGCACACACACACACACACGATGGCTGCCTGGCATGTCATTCTGGGGTGTGATGGCTAAAATCCGACAACAGCAACATGATCTGTGACTGTGAATAAAGCACCAAACCTCTGCTGCCATTCTGGGGATTTAAATAACATCTTGTCTTTGCACTGGCAGCAAAGCTTCTGGCTCTGATTACAGACGGGACAGGTGAGAGATCACTGCACACACACGTATGACTGATGAATGTGTCTGCGTCACCCCTGCACATATACACTGTGTGTGTGTGTGTTTGTGTTTGAGTTGGTGGCCAATGTGCAAATAACATGCAAAACTGTATTTTCATTTGTGATGAGTTGAGAATGGATTAATATGCTAGAAATAAAGCCATATCACCCAGATTCATTTAATGTAATACAAATTTAAACAGATTTCTTAGTAAGTCATCTGAGGAACATGGTGAAACGTGGTAAAAGGATCCCAGAAAAGCAGGTTAGTGGGCCTTGAATTAAGATTTGCAAGATTTGAGTGCAGCAATTTAGTCTTGAATGTAACAAGGAGGGCATAAAAGTACAATTATTTTCATTATCAGTTACTTTTTCAGTTAATCAGTAAGTCATTTGGTGAGTAAAATGTCTTTTTGTTTCCTGACCAACAGTCCAAAACCAAAGACATTCAGTTTAATCAATAATAAAAATAGCAAAGTCTGTAGATGAACTAATCTGATTAACTGTTGCAGCTCATGTTACAAGTTAAAATGAATAAACATTTAAACGACACCACAGGCTCGCTGTTGAGTTATTTTGGGGATTAGTAACCCGACGAAACTAGAGTCTAACTGTGAAAAAAAGAGATCAAAGATGGAGCTGTGAAATGAAAAACTGCTGCGACTACAACTCCCAGCATTCCTCGAGTTCCCACCTTCGCGCTTGCCGTATTTAACAAACGGCTTTTTGACAGTTGTCCGTGTTCGTTCACCTTAAAACTCTTAACAGTTTCTTTAAAAACGCGCTGCCGACGCTTTATTTCACGATGTGACTTCTGACAAACAGGACAGGTTCGGAAAAACGGTAAGACTGCGGTGTAAAAACAGGTTAAAAAATACCGTTTTTTAACCACAGAAAGTGATCTTTAATGCTAGCATGCTAACGGGAGAGCTAGTGTATGTGTCTCCATGGCAACGCGCTCCTTATATAAACGGAAAATAAAATAAACTTATCGATTAATGTCAAACTGCAGCTACAGATAGTTTCTGACGGCTACTGTGGATAAATATAATAATGGCTAAGTAACTTTAGCTTACATTTAAATAAGTAAATAGAGTACTATGTTGAGGTACTTGTACTTTATTTCTATTTTATACTACTTTATATTTACACTTCACTTCAGTTTATATCGTAGTTTTACTCCACTGCATGTATCTGACAGCTTTAGCTGCTCTTAACTTTAAAGATAAATGTTTTACGTACAAAATAAAAGATTAATTTATTAAATAATGTATTATATTCTTGCGGATTAAACCAAACAACAGTGTATAAAGTAGCTTCTGTTCTCAGGTTGTAGGCCTGTAAAGCATGGGAGGTCTTGGGAATTATGAGCAATATTTAATTATATTTATCAATATTTCAATGTTTCGGGAACATTGTTGTATTTTAGTTTATTTTCGTCAAATATAAATGTTTCAGTTGTATTCCAAGATATTCAGTTGCATTATAATCTGCAGGATGATGGTTTTGATGGTGATATTGCCTTTGAAATATAGATTTTATACCAGGCGAGGGTGAAAATCTCATATTTTCCTTTATTGCTTCTCCATTTACTCTGTAAATGGTAACATAAATAGGTTCATTTACATATTAGTTAGCGTCTGACTTATTAAAGGAGACCATTATTGCATTATTTCATGGTAAATATCTTTGGGGTTCAGACTAGGGCTGAACAATTAATTAAAATATAATTGAAATTGCAGTATTATATTTGTTAAAGGTGAAGTCTGTGTCAAAATACCATTTAAAATTAAATATTGTCGTTATTATTCTACAGACTTGTTTGGTCCTTGCAAAAATCACACCATAATTCATTTTAATCCGTTTTTCTATGAAAATAATGATGATCATTCCCTCTGTTGTTATGTGACAAATAAACCTACCTGCTACCTTCAGTATCGCAAATCATATCACACCTATCAGTCAAAATAATCACATTTAGATATTTTTTTGTTCAGCCTTAGTTTCGGACCATAGGTGTCATTTACACTGGGGACCCTGGGGACATGTCCCCGCCACTGTTTTAAAGCATAATTAAAAATAATTAAAAAGATAAAAAATGAAATGTAGCTTGCAGTTAAATGACAAATGAAAATGCCTTTAGAAAGGTTTAAGAAAACATGCATTGCAATTAAAATATAGAAGAAACAAAGGTGCATTGTCCAAAAAAAGGAACTTAAGCTAAAAAAAAACAGCTGCTGATTATAAAATGACCCAAAAATGTGCAGCTGCGCTCAGTAACTTTAACAGCTTCTTGTCACAGTTTCCTTCCCTCCCTGTGAACAGAAAAGTTGATCTGCAGGAGAAACAGATCTGAAAGCTGCACAGAATGACTGAGAGCTGCACTGACTTAGATTCTGTTTTATTTATATATTGTGAAATGTCACCTGTCACCTGAATTTTGAGTTTCTTTTTACATAAATAAAAACCACCATAAATTGGTGCAGAAACTTTCACCAGAATAACAGGAAATTAAGTTTTTTATGATCAAAATTTCCTGGGGGAGGAAACACCGTTTAAGTGAGTTTTCCTGAGTTAAGTGTCTCTTCACACCCCTAATCTGAGCCCTTATGTCCCCACCACTTTTCAACACAAAGGGACGCCTTTGGTTCGGACAAAAGAACCTGAAAATAATCTTCGGTTGCAGTCATGGTTCTGTTTCTGTATGTCAATGGTCAAACTGATATAATGAGAAAAATGAATTATTAAACTGCCATTTTCTATAAAAGCAGCCAAAACGTTCTTCACATTTGACACTTTATTCTGTTTGTTTTTTTTGTTGCAGGTCTTCCAGCTGTTATGAACAACTATGAGGTCATCCGTCAGGTTGGAGAGGGTGCGTTTGGTAAAGCCTTCCTGGTTCGAGACAAAGGGGGGGGTGGAGACAGACAGTGTGTGGTCAAACAGATCAACCTCAGAAAGGTACAGTTTCTCACCAGCACCTGCAGCTCACCGACATGTTAACACTGTGCTGCCTTCGCTAAATATTACCATTTTCTTAATGAAATCATGTTATTACATGAAGTCTGGCAACATGTGTACTAAGCCCTCAGTGAGGTCCTCCTGCCGACGGTTACTCAGGTCTTGAGGAAGTTTCCTCAAAAAAGGCGAGACGAGACTTTAAAACTATTTTTTAAATATCTTTAATGCCGAATTAAATGAAAATTTAGAGCATTAAACACTTTATTTCCTGCATTCTGATTATTTTTTTCTGCACCAGTTAATGACGATTCAAACTCTGTAGCCTAACTATAACAGAATCTAAGTCAGTGCAGCTCTCAGTCATTCTGTGCTGCTCTCAGACCTGTTTCTCCTGTAGATCAACTCAAGTATCTCAAGTATCTCAAGTATCTCATATAATCCCTGCCGAGTCAGGATTTAGTCACCTCAATGATAAATTATTACATTTTAATTCAGCCAGAAACTCCTGGACTTTAATAGCTCCTGTGCAGCTTTTCTGCTCGTGTTCAAAACTTTCTGCACATTCAGAATCTCTCCCACAGATCTGTGTTCTCTGACGCGTGCAGAGAAAAGGCAGCACTGGTGTTTTCCAGGACTTGTATTTTGTGTACGGATCATTAAAACAAGCCATAACATGTGAATCAGTGAGCTTTAGAGCTGCTGGGAGGTGGATTTTATTACCTTTGGACAGAACCAGTCTGACTGTTTCCCCCTGTTTCCAGTCTTTGCGTTAAGCTAAGCTAACTAGTTGTTAGCTGTAACTTCATATTCAGCTAGAAAGCATGTTAGCGTATTTCCACAATGTCAAACTTTTACATTTAAGGTAAGGTTAATGTATTTATCATTTGTTTACTTCTCAGTTTATTTAACAAGGCAGTGCACGTTGCACTGCAAAGGTACCAGAGTACCAAGAAGCTATGTTTCAATGAAAAGAGCCTGAAATTAAAGCAGTTACTGAAATAACTTACAGAAATACATCATAGTTTTTTGCGACACATTCACCGATGTGTCCCTGAGCAAGACCCTCCTGAGATGTCCGGCCTCTGACATGTGTAGCAGTAGTAAGTCGCTTTGGATAAAAGCATCAGCTAAATGATGATTTATCATGTAGAACATGTACATTAACACGTTCCCCCTCCCAAAGGAAAAAACAAAACAAACAGCAGCATCCCAAAACACATCTAAAGGTCATTGATTAAACCAGCTGCCACTCAGCTGGTTTAGGTTCATGTTGTTTTCACTGCTCAGATGTCAGCGAGGGAAAAGGAAGCGTCCAAGAAAGAGGTGACGCTGCTGTCGAAGATGAAACACCCGAACATCGTCACCTTCATCACGTCATTTCAAGGTGAGCGTTAACTCCACGGAGGACAAGGTGCGATCGAGTTGAGTTCAGAGCGTTCACTGTTCACTCTGTGTGTGTAGAGAGCGGCGGCCTGTTCATTGTGATGGAGTACTGTGACGGAGGAGATCTGATGAAGAAGATCAACATGCAGAGAGGAGTCGCCTTCACCGAGGAGCAGGTGCACACGCACACACACACACACACACACACACATGCGCCTCTGTGGAGTAATTCTGTCTTAACGAAGATAAAAATGTGACTGGTAAAACTGGGCTGTGCGTTCTTTAGATCGTGGACTGGTTTGTTCAGATCTGCTTGGGCCTCAAACACATCCACGACAGGAAGATTCTCCACAGAGACATCAAAGCTCAGGTATCTGACCCGATTTACTGCTGCACACATTCATTCACTTTCAAAGCCACCTCAGTCATGGTCTCAGAGGGCGAAGAGAGCTGAAGGCAGAAGGCTGATGGAGCCGCTTCATTACACAAACACACCCTCAGGCAAGGCCAGTTTATTAGTATTCCACATTGCAAAAACAAGGCAGTTCAAAGTGCTTTACATAAAACATAAAAGCAACACGGGGCAATAAAAAAAAGACATTTTAATGTGATTTAAAAATAGCTAAATATAAAAGAGGAAAACAGGAGAGTAAAATATAATTAAAGGCAGCTGTAAAAAGAAAAGTCTTCAGTCTTGATTTAAAAGAACTGACGATTTCAGTTTTCTGGGAGTTTGTTCCAGATATACGGAGCATAAAAGCTGAACGCTGCTTCTCCAGGCTTAGTTTTGACTCTGGGACAGAAAGCAGACCTGATCCCAGACCACCTGAGAGGTCTGGATGGTTCATAACGAAGCAGAAGATCAGATTCATGGTTTAGTCTTTTAATCTCATAAAATAGTGGAAAAACACCCGGAGGAAAGTTCCCAGAGTCCAAAGCGTCTGCTTGTCCAACCCCCGAAGTAATGAACTGACAGTAATATAAAACAGACAGAAGAAGCAAATCCTCACATTTGAGAAGCTGGAACCATTTTAGCTTGAAAAAAGGAGCAGCGTAATATATCATCCTGTACCTTGTTTCCACTCAGTGGAGGTTGTTTCTAAGTCATTATACAGCACAAGGCTGCATAACGAAACCAAATGCGTAGCTCCATAATGCTACACACACAACATATCATTAAGTGTAGACCGACATTAAAATACGGTAACATATAAAATAAAACACTACAGTTATTTATAGACAGACACGTCTCCAACCCGAACATTCCACACCGCATTTTTGAATTTGCATCTGGGGTGAATGTAAACAGCAGCAACCGGATGATAATATGAAAGATTTTTTCCATCCAACGGAATTATTCTGCATGTCTTATCATTTAATACACACATTTGGTGCTTTTGGAAACTTTGGGAGCTCCACTAGACTGTGAAACAAATGAGGTTTGGATAGTGTTTATCTGAACAGCACGAGTCGGTGGATCACTGGTGTTTAACCTTTGACCCCTTACTTCATGTCCCAGTACAGAGCGGCTCTGATGACACACTGGACTATTAATATTTTCTAATTGCGTCAGGTCCTCTAATGTGACTACTGACAGCTAAACTTGTTTGCTGATTTCCGACGCAGTGAGAAGTTCTTGTTTTTACTCTCGGACGGTGGTGGAGGAAGTATTCAGATCTAAAAGTACTTCACCATAAAAATACTGAAAGTCCTGCATTGAAAGTGTAGTAAAAGTATGTGAGTATACTCAGAAAAATGTCCTTAAAGTATTAAAGCAGTAAAATGTTGTACTATTATATCTCCTCTCCTCAGCTTATCATCATTAATGTAAAGCAGGATGATGCTGCTGTAGTTGGTTATTTTCAATCAGGATCAATCGGCTGATTATTTCCTCCATCAATACATCGATTGTTTGGTTTGTAAAGATTCTGCCATCACAGGTACCCAGAGCCCAAAGTGACAGCTGTAATTGATTATTTGTTTATTCTATTAAATTAATTCTATTAAATTAATCGCCAACTATTTTGAAAATTAATTGCTTTAAGGCCTTTTTAAAAGAACGCACGCTTAAATTATCTGATTCCAGCTTCTCAAATCTGAATATTTTTTGATTTCTTTGCTCCTCTGTGACGGTAAACTGAATATATTTGGGTTGTAGACAGAGCAAGACGTTTGAGGACGACATGTTCAGGCTCGTACGGGTGACCCAAGCTCTGACACAGAGCACAGGAGACAGAGAAATGCTTAAGGACTTAAAAACTCAACCAAACGGTGGAAAGATGGTGAAGATTAGCAAGGCGCAGGAGCTGAAGAGATCTGGGCCCGTATTTATCAAGCTTCTCAGATTTACTCATAAGAACTCTGCTAAGAACTGACTTAAGAGTAAAAACTATTCTTGGCTCAAAGCTGTGCTTCAAAGTTAGTAATCAAGCATCATAGTCCTAATCTGAGTGAAGTGTAGGACTAAATCTTAAGTGTCAGTCTTAGTTCTGATTACGACACTTTGCTGGGCCGCAAACAGGTTTTTAGACGACGATGACGCCATGGACCAATCACTGCGCTGTCCGTCTTATTAAATGCGTGTCGTCAAATAACTCAGAAACAGTCTTCCTCTCCTGAACGTCTCTGTCTCCACAGCGCCATCACAAGCCCCTACTGGCAGCTCCTGACCACTCGAGAGACCTCTGGAGCTCTTAAATAACTGGGGGAGTAAGAGTGATTCTTTGCTTTGAGAAATTTGCTAACTTGCTTTTATTCTGAAGTTTAAAAGAAGGAGTAAATTTCATAAATTCTCAGCACTTATGCTTATGGAAATCCAGGCAAAGTGAAAACTCCGGCATGAAGTTACTAGCAAGACGATTAAACGACAAAACTAGCAACAGTAGAACCTACACTTGGCCTGATGTACTCTACTGTGGCGCCGATCACAGGAAGCCGGGGGTCTTATAAACCCTGGGTTGACGAGAACATTGGAAACCGGCGTGCAGCTCCATCAGGTGTCCTTGTTCCACGTTAGTTATAATCGTTAGTTGCAGCCCTAATTAACAAACATTACAATTACTCAAATCATTTAAAGCAGAAGCAACTTAACTTTAACTTTCTGTCCATCCACTGATGGTTTCAGCTGCACTTGCATAAAGTGTTGAGGAGTTATAACAACACATAATATTTTTCATGTGTGTGAGAATCTTAAGTTGTAAAGTAACCAGTGACTAAAGCTGTCAGATGAATGTAGTGAAGTAAAACAACATTTTCTCAGCCACCTTTCAGTCCTACAGTGTTTGTGGATCACGTTAACTGACTGCACAGCGAGCATTCCTACTTAAACTTGTACATCGTAAACAACATTATTCAGAGACCCTGAAGGTCAAGCTGTTAAATTAACGAGTATTATCATTACAGAGCGGAGGGGATTGTGAGGCTTGAGAAGTGTCCGGAGCTCAGCTCTGTTCTGAACAAAGACCTCGCTCTGTGCCAACTCCCAGAATAACTCGACACAACCGAGATCAGACTGCGTCTCTGTTCACAGCCGTCACTATCTTTCATCAATCACACACAGGATACATGCCCGGTCACTGTTTTTCTGCTGGAACACAGACATGCTTTCATTCCTGCTCTCCCTCTGCTCTAGAATATCTTCCTCACCAGCGGAGGGATGAAAGCAAAGCTGGGGGACTTTGGAATCGCAAGAATGTTGAATAAGTAAGTCAGTGTCATCTTCACACACACAGAGTGCAGCTGTTTCTCACCGAGCGCCCTGTAACACATGGAAGACCTCCAAACAAGTCATTATCATTCCACAAACTGTCGAACGGGACGTGTAAACACACACGCTTGTGTAAATAATGTTCCGCCTAAAGGGGAATAAAATTAGATTTGTGTCCTGTAAATACCAAACTGTGTATGCCAGTATTTGTAGTGTTTCCTGCAAGATAACATAAGATAAGCAGTTTTTGGAAAACATTTAGAAAACAGAAAAGAATATCTTTATTGTCATTGTAACAGTACAATGAAATCAAGTCCAGTCCAAGATAAGTTATTAAAATATAAAACTCATAAAAACACATGAAAAACAAAAGCAGCCTCTAAAAGTGACAGTGTAAACTGCATTTGTGATTTTTTTTTGTTTGGCACCATTTACTGCACTCTTAGTCTGTTTGTTCTTGTTTTGAGAGTCCTGTATCGTCCCGGTCCCGTCCAGGCTGGGACTCCTGCAATAGATTTTCCTGAAGCATCAGGAACTGTGTAGAGAGGGAAGAAGGCAGCCGACCTTTATGACTTTATTTACTTTACGTATTGAGGTATTTGTACTTTACTACTTTACAATTCTACTCCACTAGAGAAAACGAGAGAGTGCTCAGTTTCTTTATTCTCATAGCGTAGGCTAACTAAAACAGGAGGTTATTATTACCAAAACTTTGGTTTTAACTTTGTTCAGCTGGGCTAGGAGACGCAGGTGCAGGACTAAGAGAGGGAGGAGATAGATAAAAGAGGAATATGGATTACAGAGTTGAAGGGATTGAGCCGGGGTGGATGATTAGATTTGTGCAGAACTGGGTTGGTGCTGCTGTGCAGAGCAGGAGGAACCGGAGTAGAATCTGGGAATAGTTTAGCCGGGTGGGGTCCGTGGAGAGCAGACGAGATGAGAACTGTTTCTGGCAGTGAAACTAAAACAACATGTTATTATCCAAAATTTGCTTTTAACTTTTATTAAAGCGACTAAATGTTCTTTTTCTACAACAGGCCCGATAAAATGATTTCAGTGTGTTCTTTATGTTGTAGCCTACAGTTTACTGATACATTTTAAACTGTAGGCTATCTGACTGATCTGTTATGTAAAAGTAATAAACCCAGTTGTCATCACTCTGTTTAATTTTGCTCCCACACAGCTGAGGGCTTCATTTTTTCTTTCCTTCGATGTGAACTGGAGCGTTGCGTTCACTGCTGTGAAAGGAGGTCAGGCGTGCGAAAAAACCCACAATATTCAAATCCCAAAATCGAATACCTACCAAACAAATGAATACTCAAATATTCGGGTCCAGCCCTAATAAAAAGTAGTTAAATCCAGCTCCACCTCGGTAAGCAGTAAAATGCTTCTCTAACATTGATGTGTCAGTATTTACAATCTCTTTTACTGCAGAACAAGTACTTTTACTTTGATACTTTAACTACATGAAGCTTATAATACTTCTCTAATGGAGTATTTATATAGTGTATTTGTCTTTATTGATCTGTGGAGGGGGAATTCACATGTTGGAGCACAGAGACAGACTACGTGTTGGACGTACTGAGATATGAACTATCACATGGTTGGTTTTGGGCTTTTCATGGGATTTGTTGACAATAACAAAAATGTGGACTGTCGTCAGCCTTATTCTTTAATGCTACAGTTTACACTGCTATTTTGGACAATAGTGTTCTTCCAGCATTGTGTCAACAGTTTGTCCTGTTCCTGTTTCAACATGACAGTGCCCCCCCGCACACAAAGACCGCTTCATAAACAAAGAGTTTTCACATTTTGGTGTGTAAGAACTGGAGTGTGACAGCCAACTTGCAGAGCAGTAAGACTTCAGATGTCTCTTTCTTACCTCTTCAGTTTTTCAGTGGGCTGCAGTCTGATGTTTTTAGTAGGGGTCAACCGATATGTTTTTTTCAGGGCCAATATCGATACCGATTATTTGTAATCAAGGAGACCAATACTTGTAACTGATATACATTTGCAGTGAAAATGAAAACAGTGGTATAAAAAATTTGAATAACACAAACTTCAACACACAACTTCATTAAAATGCTTTTAGGCGTATGTTTAGTTAAAAGAGAACTTTTCAACATCAGCATTTCTTATAAAGTTGACTGAAAATCTCTATAAACAAAATAGCTCCCCGAAGTTTATACAGAAAATAAAGTAAAAATAAATAAAACTAGTAAAACTGAACTTTTGGTCTTGCATACAACAGCTTTGTGGGCGGACAAACGTACCGGTCACAGTCAAATAAAATCCAACAGACTGAAAGCAGACAGCGCAGACAGGCGCTGTGTCCATACAGTGCATAAACAGCGACCGATCATTGAACAAGTTTATGTTTTTGGAGAACTGAATGTGTCCGTTTGTGAACACGAAATCGTGCACGGTTGTGTTAAATTCAACGTAAACTACTAAAACAACAGAAAGGAGTTCACACTGTGAAGAAAGTTTCACTTTCTGGCTGAGAGTTTTCAGACACAAACACACGAAGGTTTGAAAGCCTCATATTCACTTTGGAATTGGAATATGAATTACTACAGTAAGCAAAAACGATTATTTTTCATTATCGATTAATTTGTCGATCATTTACCTCGATTAATCGGTTGGTTGTCAGGTCCATAATATTTCAGATAATGGGGAAAAAATATTGATCAGTGTTTCCCAAAGCCCAAGATGACATTCTCAAATGTTTTTTCCAAAACCCCCGAAGATCTTCACTTTACTGACAAAGAGGAGCAAAGAAACCAGAAAATATTCACATTTAAGACGCTGGAATCAGACAATTTTTACCTTTTTTCATTTAATAGTTAGACAACTAATTGATTAATCGTTGCAGCTAATGGGCACCTGACTATTGTTTTAAGAAACCTTGTGAACCTGTCCTTTAACTGCACATCGGTCTCTGACAGATGTTTGTATTTGTGTAAGTAAAAACGTCAGGCTGGAAAATGTTTGCATTTGAAAACAGGCCACCACAATAACCCACACCGGAGGAATGCTATGTACGTGTGAACACCACGAACGGGAAAACATACGAACTGTGTCTGAGGTTTGGACTGTGTTTGTGAACTGTGGCTGTGCAGCACCATGGAGCTGGCCAGGACCTGTGTCGGGACACCATACTACCTCTCCCCGGAGATCTGCGAGAGTCGGCCCTACAACAACAAGACGTACGTACGGTCGTCTCTCTGCACAACATCCACAACCTGAACCACCGTGAAGCTTTTCTTTGACACCTCTTTCCTTCTGTTGTCGGGGGGGAGAACATGTTTACGTCTAAAGTAAAGAAGGCTTTGAGGATGAGGCTTAACCCGAGATGTGTTTGAGCCAAATGTAATTCTATCTCTGATAAACTGAACTTTTCCAAAAGCATTAAAGAGCAGGACAGAGCTGCCAAAACTGTAATAGCATCCAGGACCAACTTCTTACACAGTGAATGTGCTAATCTTTCTGTAACAAAGCTCCAAAGCTGCAGAAAGAAGTGTGATTGTATAGAAGTCTCTGAGAAAATGTTTCTACTTGTCAGCTGATTTATTCCCTCAGTAAACACTTTCCTGATGAGTTTCTGGTCTCAGTCGCTAGTTTCAAGTCTTCTTCAACACAGCATGATGTTCATTTAGTAAATTATGGTCGTATTTAGAGGAAAGTCTGTGTTTTCGTCTCAGAGCTTTGACCCTCTTACAGTGGAGAAATACCAGGCTTGACAGGCCTGCTGTGTAGGTAGGTACAGCAGAACAGACACTGTTAGGAGGGGAGGGGTCCAGGGAACCGCTCAGGTCAAACTGAACCATGTGCAAAGAGAGGAGCTTCCCTTTTTTATTTTGGCTACTGATAATGTCATTATGTGGTCGCACCAAAGCACATTCACTCAGAGGGTTAAAACAAACACATACACAGAGTTTCTAAGAGCAAACTCACACATGCAAATGTTCTCTGCGCTCTTGTTTTGATACAACTGAGGTCAGAGTTGCTTCCTCTTTCCCACACTCACACAGACATGTTTGGAGAGCTATACTTGAGAGACCCTCATCGAAATAATCCGTGCACCGAGACCCCATCCCTAACCTTCACCTGAAATCTAAATCCTTAAACCAAGTCTGAACTCTCAGAGAAGGGACAACAGTGTCTTAAATTTCTGAAAATATCCTCATTTTCAAGGTCTAAAACTGAAGTAGGACCTCACAAAGATAGAAGGATAAGAGCACACTCACACTTGGTTCGTTGCCAAAAACAGCAGATACCAGAGCTGTTGTATTACTCCACAGCTGAAAACCTTTTTACTAGACTTTCCTGTCGGTAGCTGGGCTCTGTTGGATTTTGACATTATGGTTTTGTTCCTGGTGTTTATGAGTTTAGCTCAGGGGGAGGGGGGATATTCAGCCCAGCATCCTGTTTCAACAAGAAACGTATCAAGTTGCACATTAGATTCACAAAACAAGCTGCTTGATGGTGACTTCACTCTCTGATTCTGAGCTGCGAGGACATCTGAGGGTGACATAACAAAGTCAGGGAGTTTGTTTATGAAATGATTATGGTTAAATTAATGCCAGATTGCATTGTGTGTGTGTGCGTGTCCTCTCTGCAGGGATATCTGGTCTCTGGGCTGCGTCCTGTATGAACTCTGCGCCCTGAGACATCCAGTAAGCTGCACCACGCCCACAGCTCCAAGCCTCTGCTAACACTGAGCTAATGCTAACACTAATGCTAATTTAGCCTACAGAGGGAACTTATACAGTAGCAGCGCAAAACGAGGGGCCATTACTGAGTTAAGATGCTGACCATGTTCCCAACAAAAGCAACAAATGCCAAAATGAATAAAAACATGAAGTGCCCACAGCTCAAGGTGATGTATTCAGATGGCTTGTTTTATCCAACCAACACATTAAAACTGAAAGACATGCCGTTTATTATTATAAATGAGACACGTCAAATCCTCACATTTGAGAGGCGAGGACACGAGGGACAAGTCGCACTTTTACTTAAAATGTGTGTGTGTGTGTTTGCCTGTCTTCTTCACCTGCAGTTTGAGGGCAGCAGTCTGCGGCAGCTGGTCAGTAAAATCTGCAGGGGGCGCTACAACCCCGTACCCAGCCGCTACTCCTACGACCTTCGCCTGCTGGTCACCCAACTCTTCAAGGTCAGACGCTCTAAAGACCAAAGTATTTATTCTTTTTCTCTTCACAGTGAGAGGATCTGAGCTAAATGAACCACAGTGACGTGTGCATAAACAGACGGTGCACTACTGTGATGCACAAATATAAACATCTGGGGCCAATTTTTTTTCTTAATTTCTCCTTAGCTAAGAAATTTACTTAAGGGTGTTGCACAAAATCCCTTTAAACGTTTCCTTAGTTAAGGGAAAGCATTAAGGTGTTTTCTGCATTGATAGAGAATTTACAGTAGTAAAATTCTACTGTTACCATGGAGACTGTTTGCACCAGGACTTGACCTTTTACAAAGTTGGAAAGAAAAGAAGACAAGAAAACCAGTAAATTTGATCTGCAAATAACAGCAAACAGAAAATCAACAAATGTGGGAGGAAATCGCTTCGCAAATTAATTCAAGGAGTCTTGTGAAGAGGTTCATCCAGGGGATCCAAAATAAGTATGTTGTTGCCAAAAAAGAGATCACTAATTATAAAAGGGAATCAAACTGGTGAGAATAACTTTATTCAGGCTACAGATATAAACTAGACCGTGTTGCTAGCTAGCAATAAATTTGACAGCCTTCTTGTTTTGCTCATCGTTTAGTGCATCCATTGGATTCTCCCGGATCTCAGGATATGTACATTTTTCTTCATTTATCGCCATAAACTCAACCGTGTTGCGGTTAAGATAAAGCCAGAGGTCCCTTAAATTATTTTCCTTAGTTTGGTTGCTGAGGTCTTTTGTGCAACAGTTTAACACACTTAAGGGATTCCTTAAGTATAAGACCAAGATAAGGAGAAAACATCACACACTTAAGTGAACATTTTAAGGAAACATTAAGGAGAAGATTTAAGGGTGTTTTGTGCAACTCAGACTTTAAGGAAAATCTTAACTTAAGTTTTTTTGTGCAACCGGCCCCTGGACTTTGACTTGAACTGGAGCTCTGGTGACTCGATTAACTGGTTCCCTACATTCCTGCCAGTGAATCTGTGTCGTAACACTCCACTAACCCCTCTCATGGGTCAGACTCTCAAAATCTTTTATGTGACGTTACATTTTCAGATGTGTGTGATCAGAAACCGCTAAAGTTTAATTCCATGAAATGGATGAAATACAAAAGACTACCTGTTAAAACCAGGACAGAGACAAGAAACCTTTTGCAACATCTACATAAACATTTAGTTTACCTAAAGAGTCGCCCTTACTGTAATCACCTGCTCAGTTCTCTGAGTTCAAACTCCAAAACAAGTGAAAGGTGGAAAGTGAAAATGTCAAAATCTCAGGAAACTTAGCAGCAGCTTAGGATATTATCCCGAGCTGCTTCCATTGTCTGCTGTTGACACATACAGGACGTTACTGCAGCTGCCAGAAAAACTTCAAACATTTACAGGAACTTTTGAACAGACGTCACACAACTTTCACAACTACCGAACAACCTTTTGAACACACTGCAGTTGTTAAACTTCTCACACATCACACCACGCTTTACTGCCCAGGTTATTGTTTGAGTTTCGAGGTCAGCGGCGCTGTTGGAAATCTACATTTTGTGACTTGTTGATGAGTTTCGTTATTGAACCGTACAAATGGGTGTTGATCAGTTCAGCGGCGGACTTCCACAAAAATCCAGGGCAGGAATTTGACACCCCTCCCCCGTTCAGGCAAACCAGCAGAGTGCTAATTTTGTAGACTAACCCTATTTGTTGATGAAAAAGGTACCAAGCTAGGTGCAGATTTGGCCATTTTGTCCACATTGACTGACCAACAAGTAGCCTGAACACTGAGTTTTCAAGGTAAGGCTTTGGCTATGGGTGCTCCCTCAAAAACTCCCCAGAATACACCAATGACAAATGTACAAACATGTCATTCATAGCAGAAGTACTCCCCGGTGCTCCCGATGGATCAGTCCGCTGGTGAATCGATCGAATAATTACGAAAGCATCTTCTGCAAATGTTGCTGCTCTTGGTTGTTCATTTTCACTGTGCACACACACACACACACACACAAACATGTATACACACACTGTTTTTCAGGTCAACCCCCGGGACCGTCCTCAGTCAGCTCTGTCCTCAGCCGTCGCTTCCTGGAGACGCACGTCCACAAGCACCTGGACCCACAGGTAATCAATCTGATTGGTTCACCGATCAGTTCAGGTTTATGGGAAATCCACCGGACTTCCAGCGTGTCCCAAATTCACACTACATGCTGATTCTTAGGTTTTCAGTTTTAATGAAGTAAACTCTAAAAACAGTTCCTGTTTTTTTATTTAGCACGTTTAGAGAGACGACTGATCCACTCCAAGTATTACAGTGATCTAGTCGAGACGTTGTCAATGCATGGATGACTCTTTCAACAGTCTCAGCTGAAAGAAACTGGCTTTTAGAACAGAACTAATCTGTTTTTCAAGTTTAAAAGCACTGCGGAAGGTCACACCCAGATTCTTCCTAATGTGTGTCTGAATGTTCACACAATTTAGATACTCAGATTTTCACAATAAAATAAATACCTTACCGATGAAACAAATAATACTAATCTACAAATTAAATCAAAGTAAAGGATAAATAAAATAGTCCCTAAGCCTTCTTGTCTTGGCTTTTCAGACAAAATGTTTCAGGGATTTGTAATTTAATCAAACTTGGCTGTCTTAAATCATCATAGAAGAAAATGGGACTCCTGAATAGTTTGCAGCTGCCAACCTCAATAGCCAGAGGAAGAATACCAGTTGTGACAGTTCGGGGGAACTGGCTTATAAAACTTGAACAGACCATTTGAGCAACCAGAGTTGAGCATATTGTATTTTTCAATGTTGGGTACTGAATTTATAAACCCTAAAGAAAAAAACACTCCCTGGCCATTTTATTAGGTACACCTACACATTTTAATGCAACACCATACAGCAGATCTGCCACCAAACCAGCTTTTGTTAAAACTTCACAAGAGGTGGTTTTGTGCTGGACTGCATTATATAATGAGATGGTTAGACACACGTTTAGTTTATTCACACATTATTAAAATAAAAACAATTATAAAACACTGTGCAGTGGAGGATAGAAGCCGAGAAAAGGCGTACCACCCCTCTAAGTGACACGAGTTACGCTAAGCAGCAGTAAAGCTTTTATAAGTAAAAGTTATTGTTGATTAGTGACCTTTTCTAAGGTCTGGGGTCAAGTGTACATATTTACAAGTGTTTATTTATACAAAAACACACAGGTCTGGGATCTGTTCACATTAAAATTGATAAAAGTTTATGTTCTTTGAGGAGAGGAGAAGATGAATCGTGTCTTTAAGCAAAAGTGGCCTGTAGATTTATTTATTGACAGTGACAGTTTGTTCATCTGAACGTCTCAACACAGCGTAGTCCTGTTCAACACCCCTGCACCCTACAACCTCAGTAACAAACATAAAGCGACGTTAACGCCTCTCTGACAGTGTGTGAACATCATTATCTTTGTTCAATTACGGCTGAGCTGTTCTATTGGAATCCAATAGATTTTACAGGTGTACTAATAAAGTGGCCACTTAGTGTATATCCCTGAAATAAAGTCAATTATGTCAGTGCTACAAATATTTACATTATATATTTTGATATTTATTCAGTTGCTGACAATGTTTAAATCTTTATCACCATTGCAAGCTTAAAAAAATGAGGTCGCCAGAGGTAAATATGAGTAAACGTGTGAATGTGTGTGTGTGGTTTCCTGTCGGTAAGGCCATGCAGGAGGAGTTTAGCCACATGGCGCTGCATCGAAACAGAGCAGCAGCGTCTCAGGCCGCTAAAACAAGAGCAGCAGCTGCAGGTAACACTGCTCATACACAAACACAACATTAACACTCGTGCACCCAGCAGCTCCGACACTCTTTAGTTCAGATGTGTTGTGGATTCTGGCGCCACCCAGCGGTCGTTTACTGACACCACGTTGAGTCTGGGTTCAACATTGTTGCTGCTGGCCCTGCTCCAGCTGCCGTCCTTCAACACATCTTATAAACTGCAGGGAAACACGACTCTCTCCTCGGTCGTGTCTCTCGACCTCCGCGGGAGGCGAGCTGAGTCCTGATTGGATTGTTTTCTAATGGCGTCACATCTTGGCACGCCTTGTGTTTTGGTAACATCAGAACACAAAGGAACCGGTGCTTGTCTTAAATCATTGAGGGAGTGTCTGCTTCACAATGGTTACCTAACGTATTCGCTCACAGCGTCTTTACATGTTTCACACGTTTTATTGTTCAAACGTTCGGTGTGTGTTTTGTTTAACTTACCTCAGTGGAGGAAGGACTTCTTTTATTTTCACATATAACTGCAGCCTAGTGCTTGTGTTCTTCGGCTGATCGTTTAGTGCGACTCCCCCAGTTAATTAGTGCTTGTTAATTATCTGTTTATTCTTCTTTTGAGAAAGTAGGTTAATAATGAAATAAATATCTTTATTTTTGTTTGCACATGATTCTGGTTTCCTGTCCTCTTCTGCCCTGGTTTTATTTAAAATATAAATATTTCACATCTGCAGGAGACTACATACAAAATGACAGAAGTATCTCTCTAACAGCCTTTTCTCCCCAGTTGTCCACTTTTTGTTATTCTAACGTGAGACTCTCCTGCTATCCAGAGAAGATACAGAAGTCCAGAGCTGCAGAGGGACCCGGGGCCGGCCCGAAGAGACCGCCTGCTAAACCAGAGTGGAGAGTCCCGCTCAGAGCCTACACCCCTGCCCACTACAAAGTAAGTTCTAACAATAAGAAAACAGCACCACATAAACACTGATCAGTGGGTGGGATCTATCAGGCAGCAGGTGAACATTGTGTTCTCACAGTTGATGTGTTAGAAGCAGGAAAAACTCATCATCTCTCCCACCCACCTGATCCGCAGATTTAACTCTGCACATCACCAGAACCCACCTGTGCAGCGCAGCTTACTATCAGAAGAATGCGCCCATTAAATAGCAGTGAAAGTAACTCAAGAGTAACGCAAAAGTAATGTAAAGCGTAACAATTCAGAGACAGTAATATTGTAATATAGCAGAGAAATGAAGGATGAGATGTGGACAGTGTTCTGCAGAGACTGTTGAGAAACAACTGAAATAATAAACATTGTAAATCATAGCGCAGTTTATCGACATGCAGTATTTACATCTCATCACGATAAAAAACCATGCCGTCAAATGTGGGAAATGAAATATAGGTTCCTACAAATGCCTCTTATATTTGGACTCTTGATATTTTTATTGTACTAATACCTCATTTATTAACGATCGCAGCCTCCTCAACAAAGAGCGGCGCGACCGGCGGCAGACAGAGAAGCTGCGGGTCAGCAGAACCGAAGGTGAATTAGATCATTGCATCACACAGTTTACCTCTTCACTCTGTGAATTAAAGTCTCCTTTAGTTACATGTGGTCTTTGACCTAAAACTATTACTGATGCAGGTTTAATGGGCAGCAGCCAGTCAGGCATTATCAGCACTACCACGCCCAGCTGGACGGCTTTCAGAGGAGGAACAAGGAGGACGTCCCTCCTCCACCTCCTCCTCCTCCACCAGGAGAGAGAGAGAAGGAGAGATGTGAAGACCATGTGGTGGAACCATACCAGCTGTGAGGGACCATACGCCTAGGGCTGCAACTAATTATTATTGATCAATAACTTGTTGTGTCTATAAATTATCAGAAAATTGTGAAAATTTGCCGTCACAATTTCCCAAAAATATTCAATTCATGATCACAAGAGAGGAAAAAAAGCAGAACTAATTAATTTTTTAAATGACGATGATTAATTGGTTATCAAAATAGTTGCCATATAATTGTTTTTAATGATGCCAACATACCAGATTCTGTGCATTTAGTCGGATCAGCCGCCCGCTGCAGCAACCACACTGATTTAAAGGAACAGTTTGACACTTTAGGGAATACGTTTATTTGATTTGTTGCTGAGAGTTGGATAAGAAGACTGATACTGCTCACATATCTGTCTGTTAAATAAGAAGCTGGAGCCAGAAGATGGTTAGCTTAGCATAAGACTAGAAACGGTGTGGGGGGGGCGGACCCTGGCCAAAACCTACCAGCATCTCTAAAGTTCACTAACACATAACTGCAGAGGGACGCAGACGCCAAGGCACAAGTAGAAATGCTCACGTATAGTAAGGATAAACTGGCCTTTAGTTCCTAAACTGTTCCTTTAAGTCAAGCTTTCCTGGGGTTTTTGGAGCTGATATGGTGTTTGTGATGAACTTGTCATAACGAGTCACACCATAACCATATTAACCGTTTCTCTGTTTGTGTCTGTCAGTGTGGCTGCAGCTCGTAACGAATACCTGCAGAGGAGACAGGAGGCCAACCAGTACAAGCTGAGAGCAGAGAAACAGCTGGTAGGACGAAGCTGACGGAGTCTGGTCTGTCAGTCACACATACCGACTTTAAAGTTCATAGATTCCTGATTATTGGGTTATTAGATGAGTGATTTTATCTGTCAAATCATTCAAGTTCCTTCCAGCTTCCACCCACACTCTGGAAACACAATTTCACAAGTCTGTTTTAAGAATAACTCGAGCAGTCTGGACAAGAAGACTACATGTAAAGACATTTTGTTCTTGGAGGTTGAAAAAAATTCAGAAACATGACCAAACCTGTAGAGCTCAGTGGTGACATGCATCAAAACCACCACAGGCAATGAAGTCTTTGTTCAACAATCGCAAAGGTTTTATAGGCCAAGTGAGGGAGGAAGTGAACATGCACAGGTTGACAGTGAGTCCACTTTAAATATAAATATTTAAAACTCTAAAAACTAAAACAAACACAAAGGACTACAGAGTACCAAAGTGGTTCTGGACACATTTCTTCAGTGTTGACTTTTTGTGGCGATTTGCGACTCTAACCTTTGACCTTTTCCCCCCTGACCTTTTTAGGGTCTGCGTCCGTGTACAGCTGAGCACAACAGGAAGCCCGGCGGACAGGAGCAGGAAGCGGGACAACCTGAATGCCAACATGCGCCCCAGGACAGGCGGCACGAGGGACAGCAGGTAGGACACATCGTCAAGTACATCAAAATTTACTTATACTTTACTTGAGTATTTTCTTTCCATGTCGCTTTCTGCGTCTACTGCACCACATCTCAGAGGGAGATATTATACTTTTTACTTCACTACATTTATCTGACAGCTTCAGTTACTAGTTACGTTGCACATACAGATCAAAGAAGTAGTCGATTGAAAACTATTTTGATCGTTTAAGTTTCGCGTTTGTGTGTGTGTTTGCAGACGTACCTGCGTCAGCTGGATCTCATCAGACAGCAGTATCACCAGGAGATGAGACAGATGAGGCTGAGAGCTGGAGAGGTAAATATAAAATTGTATAAAATGATATAAAGGTGGATTTGGATCAGCAACTTCGTTGTCTTTTAAAGTAGATCTCTTAGGTTTTTCAAACTACTTTCTCCGTAGGACAGTTCAGTTTCAGTCTACCAGTCGTATAAAACAAAAACAAAGACAACAGCAATCAATCAAAATCAAACATTCAGAAACCCTGTCAGTGACAACATATCAGCATTTGGGCCCCAGAGCAAAGCAGTGAATGCACAGGTCGCCATGCAGGGACCAAGCAGGGGCCGTAATTCAAGGAAATAAATAATAAATAAACACACAATACATTTTTCTGTGTGAGAAGCTGCTTGTTCTTCTACGTTTTGTTATCAGCTGTGTGAAATTTGTGAAAAGGAAAATCAAACATGTTTCTGCTTATCTGATCGATGGAAACATGCCAACGCAAACATTTATAGGTTTGTTTGGGAACCAGTATGATGACAGAAAAAGAGAGAGAGCCTTCAGGAGTGCGAGACTCTTTTCACCTCTGCTTGTTTTTGCCCCTATTCTCTCTGACTATCTGGCTCTAACTGGCTCCATTAAAAGTAGCTGAATTAGCTATAAACAGTTCCTGTTGGCAGAGAACCTGTGGAACTATCCCGGCATTATTTTGATACTGAACTTTTTACATGACTTCAAAGTGGATTTATGGTTTATAATACGTTTATTCTGGATGGACATCAGAGATAGTGATATCATTGTGATGTGGAAGTCCCGCCGAATGAGATGAAGATGTGTTTCATGTCTGTGTGAGTTATGACTCTGAGAAGGAGGACTGCGATTTTTTTCACTTAAATTCACCTCCCGCAGCATCTTTGCTTTATCGCTTTATCTCTCTAGCGCCGCCCTTTTGTCTTATTCCTGCTGAATGTCCATGGATATTTCAGACCACATCCTGTAACTTCACGTCCAGAATGATGAGTTAGATTACGTATAACAGAAAATTCCTATCTTAAGTCTCAAGTTAAGACAGGAAGGATTTTTCTCAGTTTGATATTACAGAAGCAAATCCTAACTAACTTTAGGAATCCTCTCTTATCTCAGGTTAGGAAATCCTAAATACTCAATCCAACATCGGTTATCAACTTTTATGTCTGTTACCTAGCAACAGATGCCACTTTCCTCATCTCGCTGAGCTAAACGTGTGGTGGTGGCTCCTCCTGCGCTCCCTCACTGACCCCGGCAGAAACCCCAACTCTTCTAGTTAATAATGACGGTAAAAATAATAACAATAATAAAGGCTGCGGGCTGACGTCATCATGTTTTCATGTATTTCTTGAATTTAATGATCTCCTCCTATCAAAGACCTGCATTAGGATCCTTTTGTTACATCAGACCTTCACATTATGTTACATAATGAGACATTTCTACTAACGAGGGTTTGGTCATCAAACGCATCGGTAGAATCAATTAATAAGTTCCGCCTGTTGACATTTTGTTGATCTTGTAAAAGCAGTAAAAGAGCAGCCATGTGGATTAAACGAGTTATTAAACTCTAGCTGGTGGAAAAGTAAAGACAGCTCAACAGTTCTGCTGACGTTAGGAGAGTTTATTTAACATTTTATGAAGTTAGGATGCTTCTGTAAAACACTTGGAACACAAAGGAACATTGAGGAACTGTTAATCTGTAACGGCCTTTTTCCTAAATCAGTTCCTAACCCTTGTTACCATGGTTACCAAGGCAGCTAGGGTAGGATCTGCCAGTTAGGAAGTTTCTGTAATACGGCCCCAGGACAGCAGGTTAAAGATTTTATCCACTAACCTCCCCTGTAATGTTAATCCTGTCTGATCAGAAACTCCCTCCTGTCTCATCATAATCAATAAGACAGAGTAAACACGTCTTTTTTAACCCTTATTAGTATATTTTCATTCTATCAGGCTCAGCCACAACACAAACAAGGAACCTTTGCAGTGGAGAAACCCAGAGTCCCAGAACCTTCTAGAGATGAAAGAGCAGCTGGTAGCCTCACCTGCACAGGTAAATACTGACTCATTCTGGCCATTCTGATTTTTAAACTCTAGACAGTACACATGTTGGTGAGCAGCGTGACCAGTAACCAATTCATTAGAAGAGGTAACGGTTGTGGTGGAATTTGTATAAAAGAGCTGCAGTGTTTTCTTTTCATGTAAGTTGTCAGCAAACAATTAAAAACACACTGTTGCATTTGGTGACATAGTCTTTCATCACTTTGAACACGGGCCCTCTTGTTCTTCTGTCATTGCTGCTACGACTCTCCGAAGGTAGAAAATGCAGCCACAGAGTTGTTTCAGAATAAACTACACAAGCTATATACGAGCTCTGAATGCTCCCGAGCAACAGAAAACAAATGTATCAGTCTCAGGGATGTTTAAATATCTTGAAAAATGATAACCCTGACAAAGCTGCGTGATTTGACTACCTTGATCCTGAGGCATGTTTGGCGATACAGCGTTGATTCCACAGAGGAGCAGGTGTATCACAACAGTACCTGGCGACAGCATTTCCTCCTGTGTGTCTCTCCTGCTGCAGGACATTGAAGCAGCTCTGAGGCAGATCAGAGAGCAGAACAGAGATCAGAGGAGGGCGCTGGCGAGAAAACACAAAGACCAGGTGAGATTACACCGACTCATTGCTCAGGATAAGTGAGGGAAGGAAAAGCAGAGATAGCTTACATGGAGCGTTCGCCAGTTTTCGATCGTGTGTGGACAGGAAGTGATCTGATATAGCGTGGTCGAGTTGCAAAAACATTTGAAATATTAGCACCGTTAGTGATGATCAGATCTGATGCGGATGTTAAGTGGGTCTAAATATTTACCTTATTGATGATGTTAGTTAGAGCCTGACATTCTTTCTTCTTGTCATAAAACACATAACATAAACAAAGAGTAGTTATGAGACCTCACCAAGATATTGCAGTTTAAAAGTACAGCTGATCATGTCAGCTGATATCTGTGGTTTCAGCAGGGGAGCATTAGAGCGCCATCTGGTGGACAAACGGTGCAACAACTAATCTTATAACGTGACTGAAGGATCCGTCTCTCCGTTTATTTCACCAAGTTAAGAACAGATTCTAATTTACAATAAGACGTAGGCCTCCTGTAGGAAACGCGTACTGAAGACGCGGGATAACAACAAACCTTAAAAACCAGAGACTCAAAGAAACCAAATGAAAGAATAATAATAATACACCAGTCTGAATCTATGTGCAAAGAACACTTTCTTTATCTGTAAAAAATCTGCTCTGCAATCTGCAAACAGATGAGAGTTCGATTATTATTTGTTTGTTTTGTTTGTCATTTCTGCAGAAGGGAATCATGTTCGAGATCCGGTTAGATGACGAAGGGATGAAAGAGGATGCAGAAAAGGAGAAAGAGAAGGAGGTGGGTGATGAAAGACAACAGAAGGAGGAGGTAAGTGAAAACTCTGACTCTTTCGCAGCTCCTCTTCTTCTCTTTCTCTCATTCTGTCCCCGACTCCTCGAACAGGAAGTGGACCCTCTGAACCAGAGGCTGAGCTTCCAGGAGGGAGAGGAGTTGAAGTTCAGGGATTGGTCGGAGGGGAGGAGGGGGTGGAGCCAGAGGACTCCCCAGACTCTGCTGGACGCACTCGCCAACATGGACGTAAACTCCGTCTACAACACGGCGGTCGAGGCTGAACAAGGTGAATTACAGCTGTAAACCAGCTGAGTGAAGATGCAAAAACATTTATTTAAATCATCTATTCTATTTCTTTTATTAGTTTGTCAGCAGGAGCTGCTCTCTGCTGTCTTCTTCTCTCACTTACTTATTTACACTAAAATACATTTATTTGCTCTCTTGCTGACAGATGTTCAGATTGACTCCATGTCTCTGTGTTAAAGAGACACAGGGAGGAGACGGCAGCAGTGCACGAAGTATTCAGATCCTTTACCTTAGGAAAAGTTTTAATACTGTCGGAGAGTTTAATTTATTACAAAACATCAAATTTTATAAACTCTTCATATGTTTTACGTTTAGAAATCTTACTTTGTAAAGCTGTTTGATAAATGTAGTGAAGTAAAAAGTACAATATCTCCCTCTGAGATGCAGTAGAAGTAGAAGGTGGCATGAAAAGAAAATACTCAAATAAATGTACCACTGGGAGATTGTTAGCTTAGCACCAAGACTGGAAACAGCTAGCCTGGCTCTGTCTGAAGGTAACAGAACACACCTACCATGTATGCCCCCCCCCTCAGGTGAGGAGGCGGCAGGTCGCAGGCAGTGGGTCGACCGCCGACCCAACACCCTGCTGAACGCTCTCGCTCAGGCTGAACTCACATCTTCAACTCTGGACTCTGAGACTGCAGGTCAGACTTCACTGATATTTATGTTCATCAGTTCTTGGATATTAATTATAATTCTGGGAGTTAACGATCAGTTAACTAATTTATCTACAGAAAACCCTGAGAGAGCTGATACACTGAACTGCCTTCTCTCAGATTTAGAGCCAGAGAAGGATAGAGCAGGAGAGGAGGAGGAGGAGGAGGAGGAGGAGGAGGAGGAGGAGGAGGAGGACTCTGATGTGGAGATGGATGAAGACCGTCTGGAGCCGCGGTCAGACGATGACGACACGTGAGTCCACACTCCCGTCTGTTCAGTGCTCTCTGTACCTCTTAACTTCTTACAAGGGTGGACTGACCGTCGGGAAAACCGGGCCAAATCTCGGTGGCCTGCCATTAATAATCTTGAACATCACATCACCTAGCAAAGTTGAACCGGCGCACACTCTATCCACTTTTATCAAATGATTCAGCTCATCTTATCAAATGAAACAGTCCCTTCACTCCTGGTTTCAATGGTAAACCACCACAATAATAACAGTTACCCACAAAAAACTTTATATACTGCGCAGACACATTTTAAAAATACATCAATCATGAAGTAACATTTGGATTTCAAACAAATGGCAAACTTATTAGCAACTTTGAACAAAACTCCCTTCACCGCTATGCATCATGGGAAGTCTGGACTTCGCCCCGGACTCACACTGGCAGCGTGTGAACCGCGGTTTAGTTCCGCATTAGTTCCCTCATCCCACAAGGAGAATTTCAGAATCAGAGCGTTTTGCCTTTGTGATTTTGCTGACAAGTTTAGATGTTGTTGATTTGGTCATTAGTGCTGACTTTATGTACTTCTGCTATGATTAATTAGGCTATCTAGTTAAATAGTTTCTGTTTTAACTGTGTTTATTGTTGATATACGATCGGGAGTCTGTACAGGGTGTTTTATTTTGAAAATTGACCGGATTCTCGCTATTTTATGTCTGACTTCCTGCCCTACTTTAATGATCAGTCCCAAAAGTCAGCAGATGAACGTGGACTATACCTGGTTTGTTACCTGTTACATCAACAAATAGGGTTTGTCCCATATACGTTTGGTGTGGTCAAGGTGTTCTTTTTTATTTTCAGCCTAAATGTTTCTGCTTCTCGTTTGTCTGGACAACGCACTGATGCAACTTACGTACAATTTATAAGCAGTCCACTTTTCCCATTTTTCATTAAACTCCACTGTATTCTCAGAGTCGTTCCGTATCGCGTGTCTCCTCAACAACGTCCAGCCCGTTTCCATCCGACTGCCTTCCCGGTCGCCACTAATGGAAGTTTAACAGGACATCTGTCCTCATGTTGTACATCTTCCTGTGTCAGGTTACAATAAGCAGAACACACGTCTTTGGGAATTTATAACCTAATATCACCTCCAGCTCCATCCACATGTCCTCGTGGATGTTTTCTTCTGCTCTACTTATTTAGTTTGTTAGAATTGAATAATAGAACTGCACGTCTGATTCACGAATGCTGCTTCTGATGACTTCTTCTCGTGTTAAATAATGTTGCTTGAAACATGATGGTGTGTTGATGAAGGAGCAGTTCGTCTTTTTTGGGGAAACCACTCTGAGTAAAATGTGATCTGGTCTCTGAAAATAAGCTTTGCATGTCTCTTTGGCAGTGTTCGGGAGTCACTGATTAAATGTAATTTCGTTGCGTAATTCAATGTCAAAATAAGTGCAGGGCCTAACTAATCTGGTTCAGTTACTGTGTAATTAAATTACAGTTACTTTTAAAAATGCTCATGGGGGGTAACATCTGAATATTCATGTTGTTGTTTTGCATGCTTTGCCGTTTCCAGCCACAGAAACTGTTCTGATGCTTCTGATTGGTTCTCATGTTTGCAGAATTTAGAACAGTAATTAAATGCAGTAAGTCACATTACTTTAATCAAGTTATTTAAATAGTTAAACTACTATTACATTTTAAATGGGGTAACTTGTAATCGATTTCCAAAGTAACCTTCACAACACTGTTCTTTCGCCACAAGCTTCAGCCAACTCAATAAATTAATGTTAATGTAAAAGGATTTGATTGTTGAATATCTTGTATGTAGATAAAAAAGCTATTAAGTTATGACAACTTTGTATAGAGAGCCCAAGTCCCTCCCCTTCCGCCACACGGGACCTTATTTCAGAACAAATATGTACGTAGTAAACGGCGAGAGACAACTTATGTTTTGATCCCGTTTGAGTTGTGCCCTGAATTACACACATGATGTTGGTCAATTTAAAAGACATTAAAGTCAAGAAAGTTGCAGTTTGTGGTAAAATTGTCAAAGCATGAGACTGTGAAAATATGTAATAACAAAGGACCACAAACCCACGAGTCTCTCAAAGACTGAAGCGAACGTCAAAGAGCTTCCATGTGCAGATGGTGCGATGAAAAGGACCAGGAGTCGGTTTAGGAGTCAGGAGATAGGTCTGAATAGATTACACAAAAGTCCTGACCTACATTGATGTTACTTCTTGATCAGTTCCCACAAAATGTCCTCACTTGAGCTGCACAGACGAACGCTTGATGAACTTTAAGCTCCTGCAACTGACACGTGACCCATCCTGCCAGAGGATGTCTGCCTTTAATATATTAATAATAATTTTAATTTCCTGTTTCTCATCAGAACTTTGAGGAATCAGAGGACGAGCTGAGAGAAGCGGTGGCGGACTCCATGAAGAACCTGTTCGTCACGGAAGACGGGAGCTCGGACGAGGCGGAGGACGCGGAGGAGAGGGCGGCGGTGGGTGATGGGATCGAGGAGAATCGGGAGGTCCAGGGTTTAGACGTCACCGCCGGACCGACCGGAGTCGTTTCTTCCGAGTCTAAAGAACATGACGGTCAGTCCGAGAGTTCAGACAGGAACACAGCTTTAAATAAGCAGACTTCCTGAATTGACCCAAACCTACACTGAAAGTCTGAAGCTCAATTCATTCTTTAACAGGAAAATGATAACACACAGGAACTGTTAGGACATACGTTCATTGGCTGCTTTCACATCTGGAGAGCCCGGTTCACTTGTTTTGGACCAAGGGGAAACATTTTTTACATGGTTGTATTTTAGTTCTGGTCTGGTTCACGTTCACACGGCAGTTTTACAAACAAACCAAGAGGAGTAAACATGAAGTCATGCAGACAGACAGGTGACTCATCGACGGCTTTGGCTGTCAATCAAACTCCAGTGACTGACAAACGTTTACGCAGCTTTAATGCTTCTGATGTGTATCGCAAAGAGCTCACGAAGAAACAACTCATTGAAAGCATTATTAGTAATATTAGACCGTAAATCGACCACATGTTCTGAATGATGACGGCGACACAGGAAGACGAGAACAGGAATGATTCTGGGCTTATTCCTGTCACTAAATGTTTTATGGACTTAATGAACTGACAGAGTACCTGGAGTTCTTTTTTAACTGCTTTTGACCCGTTAATCTGAGAAAACACGCTGACGTGTATCCAAGGTGACCAAATCGTTTGCATAAATGTAGATCAATTACAAGATCGCTTCCTGAACACATTTCCACGATCAGCAGGACTGGATGGACTTATTAGTGGTTCAGCTTTTGAAATATCCTCAGATCACAAATCTGCTATCATGAAATCCTGTGGTTGGTTCATTTGCACCAGAGTTTGTTTGATTGCTGCGTTCACACCTGCCCTAACGAACCGCACCAAGGGGAAAAACCAACTCTAGTGGGATTCAACCAAACTAAATGAGGAAGTTGTGAAAGCCCCCTGAACGTGGGATTTATTTACTATTAGAAAAATATAGAATATCAACTGAGTTATTCTTTAACATCAGCTTCAGTGCAGGTTTGACTTCTTCCGATTGTAAATCTTTACTTTTGTTCAATGGAAGCTGTTCTCTAATGTGCAGCAGTAATGCGTGGACCCTCCCTGTGCTGAAACTCTGTTTCTTGCCACAAGTCGGCAGCAAACAACAAGCAGTTAATATGAAGTGTTCAATGATTGCATTTATTCCAGTATTGTTCAAGTGGAATTTCATTTTCTCAGTGAAACAAACTCAGAACGTCCTCTCTGCACAGGCAGATGTGATAATAGTAATATTGCCTCTTTCAAAATAAAGATTCTTATAAGATTTTACACGGTGTCATATTTCCATGGCCGGACCGCCCCACAAACAGGAATGCAGGAAGTGAAACATGTAAATAAGCGATCACGTTAACCCAAACACACGCGTGCTTAAAGTGCTTCTTCGCCACATCCAAAGAAAAGTCTTCATTTAACTCAAGTTAGTCATTTAAAAACAGACGAAACCATCACCATAACAAAACTATTATCAAAATCACTTAATAACTCACTTCCACACTAGCAAACACTTAGTGGCTTCAGTGGAGTCGAATGAAAAGCTGTATCTCCGTTTGGAAGGAAAATGTCCCTCTAAATATATTTAAACACCTTAAATTAAAACTTTGGGAAAATATGCTGTCACATTCATATCAGTACTGACACCTGTTAGCTTAGCACAAAGACTGGAAGCAGGGGGAAACTGCTAGCCTAGCATAAATCAAAAGAAAAGAAATACTCTGAAGCCGTCTGATTTACAAGTCTTACATGTGAACGGAAACTTGACTACTGCGGTTAAGTTTCCGACTTTGTGCATTTTTGTGCATTTAAAAAAAAATAAACAGGCAATTTCTGGATGTACTGATCATTAGCTATAAAAAAAAATTTGGAACAGATGGAAGAAATTTTAGCCGCCATGTTTGTAGTTCTTCTGTAAATCAAGTCCAGTGAAAAACCTTAAATGGTCCCAAAGTAAGCAACAAACTTTAAACTTCACGTCACCAAAACATTTTCAGATCTAAAATTATAAATGAAATGAATGAGTTTCGTTCATTATCTCACTGTAGGATGAACTGATGACCAGCTGCTCTGTCGGCCTTCATTAATATTATATATATAGTTTATATAATTATATATAATATAGGCCAAATAAAGCTCGTTTTAACATGCTGTTCCAAGGTGTTTACTGTAGACATGTGCTTTTGCATGAACTTTCAAGGCTTCATTTACTTTGTTTAAGTTGTTAATTCATTACTTGATCATTAAAAGCTGTAACTCTGAAATTTACATTATTTCTCAGTTTTACTGACCTAAACTTTGCCTTCTTTAGTTATTCTGCAGCAGTGGAACCAGTAAACACCTTGAAACAACCTCACAAGCTTTAGTGAAATGAACAAAACTTCTTAATTTAATTGTTAATTTTAGAACTTAAAGTTTGCTGCTTACTTTGGGACCATTTAAGGTTTTTCACTGGACTTGAACTACTTCGATTTATATAAAAACTACAAACACGGGGGTTTCTAAAACCATTTCAGGCTTCCTGATTTCAGCCTTTGTGCTAAGCTAGGCTCAGTAGCTCCTGGAGCAGATATCACCCATAATATTCTCATTTAAAACCCGCTAAGAAAACAAACAAGCTGCTCCTAAATTGTAACTTCCTGCTGGGAAAACTGCGATTAAACAGTTAAGTTTCCTGAAAACTCGAGGACTTTCCAGCTGTTATCCAACGACACATCAACACGGACACTTTCATTTGTATGTTTTACAATTTATGTTGCATCTGTCATCTGCTTCTGTGTACACCGAAGCTCAACACGTTTAGATACTCTGAGCTGTTTGTATACAGGTTCAGGTTCCTTCATGTCATCGTGCATCAGCTCTCCCGACACCCTCACACGAGTTTGACACACGCAAAGTCACAGGAAACGTCCTTGTTCTTTTGGTTTTAGATTCATCGCAGTGGACAAGAAGGACAATGTTAGCGCTGCGTGTCCACCAGGAATCAGAGTCTATCGTTTTAAACTGGGTCACTCTTTACTAAATGTGAATTAAATGAAGTCCTGGTCCCTGATGGACCGCCGGCCCCGTCTGCTCTTCCTCATCGCTCCAGTTTACTCATCAGAGACTCCGTGGCGGCAAGGAAACAAGCCTCAAACTCCTGGTCGGAGAAGCGTTCCACGGAGCGCCGGCCGTTACGTCGGATCTCCAGTCTGGCCGACGGAGACAGCGCCAGGATGGATTCCATGGCAGCGGCGTAGCTGTCCTCGCTGTCGGCCAGGAAGCCCGTCTGTCCGCCCTCGTACGGCACCACGATGTCCAGCTTCGGCCCTCCAGACTTATGAGCGAGGACGATGGTGCCTGCAGCCATGCACTCCACCACACCTGGGCAGAGGAGAGAGATCATAGCTAAACTTTTTGTTTCACTGGTTAGTTTAAAGGAGGCTTTCACACCTGAAAGTCGGCACCAAGTTCATGTTTTGATACATTCGGTTAGTTTTGGTTTGGTTTCAACTCTGCGACCGCACTGAAAGGACTTCACATGGCAGACCTGCGTCCTGTCGTCATCATCTATGTGGGCTGCGTCTCCCTGTACTTGACACTCTCTACCATATAGTGAGCTCGCTGTCCGAATGTATAGTGATAATTATTATACTCTATATAGTCCACTCAATGTATCCCAGAATGCATTTTGAAAAGTACTGTGAACTGTGTGTGTCCTCACCGATGCCGAAGTGTTCGTTCCACATGGTGTGCAGACCGATGGTGGCGTCCACCAGCTCCCTCTTCAGCTCCTCGAAGGCCACGTTGAGTTTGAAGTCGACCCGGTCCGACACGCCCAGCTCCTGGCAGAGCCCCCGCAGCATCAGCACCCGCTCCTCGTCCTCCTGGTTCCTGCACCCGCCGATCAGCACCAGCCGCAGAGACTCCCGACCCCCTGGCCCCTCCTTCCTCCCGGTCAGCAGTTTGTGAAACGCCCGGATCTGCAGCTGGTGGTCCTTCTCCGGTCGGAACTGACCCACCGACACGATGGCGTGGCACTTCCTGTCCCCTCCTCCTTCCTCTTCGAGCTCCCGTCCGAGCTCCTCCCAGCCCTCCTCCACCTCGTCCTCATCCTCCAGCGGGACGTCCAGGAAGGCCCTGACGTCGCAGGGCGGGTAGACGACGCTGGTGCGGTTGGGACAGCGCCACAGGGCCAGGATGTGTCCCAGCGTCCAGGTGGAGTTGACCATGATGACGTCGCTGCAGGAGCCGGCCAGGCCGTACAGCAGGGCGAAGCAGCAGTAGTACACCACCTTCGCCGCGCTCAGCACCGGGTTTCTGGAGATGAAGTCGGCGTTGTTGAATCTGGAATCACAAGAGGAGGAAGACAGAAGGTTGGCGTGGTACGAACAACAGTGAACCGGTTTAATTTGAAGACGTTTTCTAAACTAAGAGTGAATAAATCTTAATACACCGGCTTTACATTCTAAAAACAGCATTATGTAGCATCCAGAGGTGGAAAGTAAAGAAACACAATTACTCACGTTACTGTTTTTGAGTAGGTTTTTTGAGTGTACTTGTAATTATTAGTAAGTAGTTTTTAAAATCTGTAATTTTAATTTTACTTAAGTACATTTTGTTTGGAGTACTGTAAACTTCTCATAATAACAAAAAGGTTTTGCGCCATTGCTTTGGCAAATAATCTGTCAAAATGAACTAAAATCAAAAGTTTTGGCTTTGTGCCAAGACTGCAATTTAATTAAATAAGTATTATTAAGATATTAAATCAGTATAAATAAGTTGTTTTAGGAGGTTAAAAAGTAACTGAGTAAATTTTAAATGTGCTCCTTTTCACTTTAACTTGTGTTACGGCCGCCGCTGGCTGCCTTAGAGTAGTTGTGTTTTGGATTTCTCTGAGCTGTATGCAAATCCCCACGGCAAGCACCTGTCGAGGATTGGTTCCCCTGGACCTGGAACCACCCACTTCCTGGTTGCTGTTTGCTGGCGTCTGATTGGTGTGGCCGAGGATCCTACCGAACCTGCCAACCAGAACTCACCAATCAACACCAGCTGGCCTACAAATAGTTTGTGTTCCTGCAGTTCGAGGCGACTGTGAGCCAGTGATCAGTTTGCCTTGTTGTTGGTTGTGTACCCCTGTGAATGTCTTGAGTGTTTAAATCTGATCTGTTTGTTGGTTGCCGGCTTAAGTGACTCTTGTCAGTAAAAACCTTTGTAAACTAGATTGTGAGTGGCACCCTTTAAGGGGGAAAATTGTTTGTTTGGTTACACTACATTCCTGTACAGCATGTAGGTACTGACCTCCTTTTGTTGTGTTTTTTTTTGGAGACAACTCATTTAATTAAACTTCGACTCAACCTGATTTCAGTTGTCCTTACCACCTTAATTTCACCCAAATACCTTGTTACTGCCCTACCCTAACGAGCTGGGTTGTAACACTTGACTATAATTTTACACAGGTAATGTTACTTAAGTAAAAGTTCATCAAAGTAATAGTAATTTTACTTAAGGTGAATATTTTAGTACTCTTTCCACCTCTGGTAGTATTTGCATTTACATTTACTCATTTGGCAGACGCCAAGAGTTAACAAAAAAGTACAATCAATACAAGATAATTGTAGGGGACAGAAGAAGAAGAGCACAGGAAGTGCATGTTAGAGGTGTTATCAGAGGAGGTGTTCTCTGCAGAGTTTTCAGGAGCTTCTTGAAGTCAGAGAGGGACCCTGCTGCTCTGATGGCGTGCGGCAGCTCGTTCCACCATCGTGGTGTCACAGATGAGAACAGGGACTGAGGTGGCTTTGTGCATAAAGAAGGCAGAGCCAGGCGTTCGTTGGAGGAGCGCAGTGGCCCAGAAGGAACGTAGACTTGGATTATGGAGTTCAGGTAGATGCTGCAGACCCGGTAGTCACTCTGTATGCAGCGTTAGGGACTTGAGTTGATTCTGGAGGCCCCGGGGAGCCACTGGAGGTCACAGTCATTTTGGGCTAATCAAAAACCAGACGGGCTGCTGCGTTCAGAGCCATTTATTTGGTATGTTAAAATAACAGCTTTAAAATCAGGGGGCTGATTTTAAAGCTGCTGTTCTCAGTGTGGATATCAGGGCAGAGGCTGCGAAGAGACTAAAGATGTCGGAGGAAGAAAGGAAGAGAAAAGAGAGACAGACGAGCAAGAGACCGGACAAGAGTCCATATCAGACTGGCTTTGACTCGTTGAGCTAAAGAGCTGAAAGGATGCAGGAGACGTCCAGCTGGTCTTCTTTCTGTCGGTCATATCGCTGGGTCTTGTGTTTTCGCTTGTTTCTGATCATGTAATCATAACACATCTTATGTGATGTTGCTTTAAGCTTCTCCACTACACGTTTAACACTCGCAGTCTGGCAGCTCCTCTCTGCAGTGATGGCTGAACAGAGAGCGCCACCTAGAGGCCGAAACTCGACTCAAAATCATCACTAAATCTGAGGGAGAGGGTGTATTTTGACAGACAGGTGTGTGTTACCTGGGGTTCCTCTCTCGGACCACAGAGAGCATGTCGGTGCTGACGGTGGGATAGTGAACGTAGCTCGCCACCTTACAGCCACCCAGGTAGCGGAAGATGGGCAGGGTGAAGGCGTAGCCCATCGAGTCCACGAACAGGTCAGGAACGAAGGCGGTCAGCGCTTCCCAGCCTGCAACACACACACACAGTCATTTAAAATCATCGAGTGTAACCGTCAAGCAGCGTCTCTGTGGACTTCTGCGTCTTTATGAAAGTCGCGTTCTGGCCCGGCCTTACCGAGGAACATGGAGCCGGCGCTCTGACCCAGCAGGGTGAAGTGAGGGTAAGAGCTGGCCTCCACCAGCGTGCGGTGACGCAGGAAGATGAAGGTGATCGGTCGAGGCAGCGTGATGTTGAAACGCTGTCGGGCTCCCTCCAGAATCTGCTCGCCGGTCACTCCCTGGTCGCCCGTGTAAACCACAAAAGAGACGCCGGGGTATCTGGGACGAGGAGGGGAAAACAGAAACATCTGTTTCAGGGATTTCTACTAGTCCACTGGCAACAAAATAGAGTTATATTTACACACAGAGCAAATAAAAGATCTGGACCTTGAACATTAATTTATTTTCTCATACAACCGTCGCTTGTTTTCTGTTTTCTGACCTCTACTGTAGGTCAGATTTCCCCCCCCAGGACATCAGTACAAACATCCATCCATGTTTACATTCTAGATGTTTTCCTCTTCAACGTCTTTGTGGCCAAATTGCTGCATTTTTTTTCCTGTCGCAAAACTAATCTTATATCCACAAGTATCAACACTTTAACTAAACGCTCTGTGGTGATTGGTTTGTATCTATGAACTCCACGTGCTTGTAGATGGCTCAACCCTGAAAACGACCTCAGCCATCCAAAGTCTGTTTTTTAACACCAGCATTTTTTTTGTTGAGATCCTGAATTCTCATTGGGCCACATCGAGTGACCCGCTGCGCACAGAACCAGCGGACAAATCCAGCACCGGCCAACCAGGAGGCTTTGATCCCACTCATGCTGATGTGCCGTAGCTGCAGAGCCGTGACCGAGCTGAGGTAAGAAAGTTTGATAAACTAGAGAACCAATAAGTTGATATAAATATTAAATCAACTTTATTGGTCACATGCAAAATTTAAACCATACTGATAAGGAGCAGCGCCCAGGGGCCGGTTAGAGGTTCAGGGCCTTGGATTCGAACCACCGACCCTCTGTACTTTTTTTTTTATTTGATGGCCTTACGTCCAGATTTCCTTTATTTCAGGCGTCTAAAATATGTTTTTCTTTGGTGAGTGCAATGCGCTTCCGTACCCTGACGCACTGGTATTAAAAAAAACAACAACCTTACAACACCGAATGCCAAGTGGCCCTGCCCAGAACACGATGAGTTTCCAGGCCTGCCTACCAGGTACCCGAGTGTTAAAGAGTTTCCTATAGTTGCAGGTAGAAACGTGAAATGAAGCCTGGTCATTAGACAGATAAATCAATAAACACCCTACATGGCCATTAATATGTGGACATCTGACAATTAAATCTTGTTTCAGCTCCTCAAATGTCAGGATTTGCTGGTTTTCTTTGTTTTATATTGAAAATAAACTGAATATTTGGGTTTGACTGACAAAGAAACTTCTCAAGAGCTGTGGGAAATTATTTTCAGGCAAAAACATGCAATAGTTGGTGTCAGTCCTAGAACACAGCGGTAGGATCAGTAGTATCCTGGCACTTTTAGTCCAGATCAAACCTTAGACCCGCTATGTGGACCTGAAGTCCACGTACCGGTGCATGAGGGCCCTCAGGGAGCACCAGAGGACCCGCTCCCCGCCTCCTCCGGCGTTGCAGTACGGGTGGAAGAAAGCCACCGCGGGGCCGCCGCCCTGAGCCCGGCGGGCCTGGCGGCGGCCCCGCAGCCACATGCGGACCCCCAGCAGGAGCAGCACTAGGACGAGGGTCAGGAGCAGGCTGAGGTAGACGCAGGGGACCACCAGGGACCACAGCAACCTGAGGAGGGGCAGACAGAAGGCTGTGAACGGGCCCTTTAGCAAAAGACGTTCATGTGAAACTACAGGATGTGAACCAGTCAGCTGCTCGTGACTCGAGTTCCTAACGTTTAATCAGCTGGGCTGAAGTTTACCTCATTAAATCGCAGAAACACAGAGAGAAGTGGTGGTGGTGGTGTTGGTGCTCCTGTCCTGCCATTTTGACAACACAGACGCTACCGGAAGCTGCTGTCAGCTGACCGAGCTGCCTCTCTGCGATTGGCTCAGCGTTTGTTTACCTCCACGTCATCGACACATGACTTTTATTTATTTTTTTATTAACGCGTTCATTTTAACTCGTTATTCAGAATCTGGTTTATTGCCAGGTACATTTTCACACACGAGGATTCAGCCTTGGTATATATTTGGTGCTTAACAGTACACAAAATATACTAATAATATTATAGAAAAGAGAGTATTAATACTACAATACTAATACAACCCCCCCAAAAAAATATACATGTACAAAAATTCACAATATGAGCAATAAATAAAAAGTTAGCCAGGCTAATAAAGGTACGTGTCATATTTTGTATGTTGTTGTTTAACCACTTAATTTTTTTAATAATCAGTAATTTAACAATTGGTATAATTTTACCACTTGTGGGGCCATTTTCAATCAATTCTTGGCAAATATGTCTCAACGTTAAACTTGGAGGCAGGTAATTCCTTGGAATGGAAGCTTTACAACTGTACAAAAATAATAAAGATCAGCAAACAAATACAAATACATTGCTCCACCTAATTAGTATTATTTTCACTTTCTGTCTGTCTGTTTTGGCTGAACATCATCAACATGTGATTGTATTTGCACAAAACAAAAAACAACTATTATTAAATATCCAAACCCCTCACCTAGGGTGTCTTTTATTTATTTGTTTGTTTATTTATTTATTTATTAATGCATTAAAATAAAAAAGTATACCAGGTAAATATATGTAGATATAATATTTTGTATGTTTTAACCTTGTAATCTAACCAGTTGTGGGGCCATTTTAAATCATTTCTTGACAAACTACACGTTTTCTAGGCTGTATTTACAAGGTATTATACAGATACATTTACTCATTTTATCCAAAGCGACTTACATTTGAGGAACAACATACAAGCATCAACAGAGCATCAAATACAGATCTACAACTGACAATACATACTAGTAAGAGCTCACAGTACATATCACATCAATGGGTAGATACCTGGGAAGGAAGGAAGAGTTAACAAAAAGTGCAATCAAAACAAAAAAGTGCAATCAATACAAGATCATTGTAGGGGATAGAAGAGGAAGAGCACAGGAAGTGCATGTTAGAGGTTAGGAGTTCCCTCCCCAATCCGGCTGGGACAACGTCTGACAGTTACTCTCCAATTTTCTGAAAAATGCACCAGTCCCGCTGCAAAGTCCAACACCGCAAACCATTTTGCTCCAGCGCCTTCCTGTCAAAAGTTATTCAACAATGCATGTCAACCTCCTACGTCTTCTCCTTCTCCTCATCCCTGTTGCTGTCTGCTGTCTGCCTAACCCTAACACCAACCACTCGGGGACCAATGTGACCAAGGTCTCCCGAGTGGTTGTGGTCAATTAGGAATGGTCTGGTGGAAGTGCTGCCTCCCATTGCAGCCGGAAGCTCCCAGGTTGAAGTCCACCTCCGCTTCAGAAGAGCTAGGCTTCCTCTCCCAGGCCTCCCAGTGGGTAACCAGTCCTACTACCGCCCCAGGGGGCCCGCCCATCAGCTTTACCGTAGAAAATTCAACTTCGCTCCATCAGGTCGACTGGAAATGCTCCCCCCCCCCGAGTCGAGCGCTGCCACCCGGCAGCTCTACAGCCTTCCTGTCAAGAGTTACTCCAAAAAGGCCCATTTTGAGGTGGTTTCCATCCCCTAACCTACTGTTAACCCTAATTTTCTACTTTTTGCTCACCCACCCCGAAATTCCACCCCGATTCCCAAGGCTGCAAGCCCTGTGGCTCTACCAACTTCCTGTCAAAAGTTATTCAACAATGCGTCTCACCGCACTCATTCCGCTTCCTGGGCATCATCATCACCACCACCCAGGACCTCAAGTGGGAGCTGATCATCACCTCCGTCACCAACAAGGCCCAGCAGAGAATCTACTTCCTGCGGCAGCTGAAAAAGTTCAACCTTCCAAAGACAATTCACCACCGCCATCACTGGGTCCAGTTAGAAATCCATTTCTTTTTTGCGTGGCTATCGGGTTTTATCAAAATAACAGTCCCCAAGGAGTATTTGTGCCAATTTTAGTACTTCTTTCCACTTGTGAAAGATTTTCCTGCAAAAATGCAATTAGCTGCTCTGCTCTAAAGTACCAATTTATTTTATACTATGTTTTCTTATTGAACAAATACACTGCTCAAAAAAATAAAGGGAACACTAAAATAACTGAATGAATGAAATAATCTCATTAAATACTTCTTTCTTTACATAGTTGAATGTGCTGAAATCACACAAAAATTATCAATGGAAATCAAATTTATCAACCCATGGATGTCTGGATTTGGAGTCACACTCAAAATCAAAGTGGAAAACACTACAGGCCGATCCAACTTTGATGTAATGTCCTTAAAACAAGTCAGAATGAGGCTCAGTAGTGTGTGGCCTCCACGTGCCTCTATGACCTCCCTACAACGCCTGGGCTCCTGATGAGGTGGCGGATGGTCTCCTGAGGGATCTCCTCCCAGACCTGGACTAAAGCATCCTCCTGGACAGTCTGTGGTGCAACGTGGTGTTGGTGGATGGAGCGAGACATGATGTCCCAGATGTGCTCAGTTGGATTCAGGTCTGGGGAACGGGCGGGCCGGTCCATAGCATCAATGCCTTCCTCTTGCAGGACCTGCTGACACACTCCAGCCACATGAGGTCTAGCATTGTGTTGCATTAGGAGGAAGTCACAAGGGCTCTGAGGATCTCATCTCAGTACCTAATGGCAGTCAGGCTACCTCTGGCGAGCACATGGAGGGCTGTGCGGCCCCCCAAAGAAATGCCACCCCACACCTGACCCACCGACAAAGCGGTCATGCTGGAGGATGTTGCAGGCAGCAGAACGTTCTCCACGGCGTCTCCAGACTCTGTCACGTCTGTCACATGTGCTCAGTGTAATTACTGCAGTGCTCCTCCTGCTCCTCTTTGCACAAAGGCGGAGGTAGCGGTCCTCCTGCTGGGTTGTCGCCCTCCTACGGCCTCCTCCATGTCTCCTGATGTACTGGCCTGTCTCCTGGTAGCGCCTCCGTGCTCTGGACACTACGCTGACAGACACAGCGAACCTTCTTGCCACAGCTCGCATTGATGTGCCATCCTGGATGAGCTGCACTACCTGAGCCACTTGTGTGGGTTGTAGACTCCGTCTCATGCTACCACTAGAGTGAAAGCACCGCCAGCATTCAAAAGTGACCAAAACATCAGCCAGGAAGCATAGGAACTGAGAAGTGGTCTGTGGTCACCACCTGCAGAACCACTCCTTTATTGGGGGTGTCTTGCTAATTGCCTATAATTTCCACCTGTTGTCTTTTCCATTTGCACAACAGCATGTGAAACTGATTGTCAATCAGTGTTGCTTCCTAAGTGGACAGTTTGATTTCACAGGAGTGTGATTGACTTGGAGTTACATTGCGTTGTTTAAGTGTTCCCTTTATTTTTTTGAGCAGTGTATAACAAATGAATGAAGCCATTGTCTTTTATTATTTATTAGGGATTTATTACGTGTGGCCAGTCCACATGTGAACAGAGAGCCAAAACATTCACACACTAAATGTTCAGACGCAAACACAGACCACGTGGAACATTTGTCTGTCCCTGTAGCTCGGTGAGATAGGGTTCGGCTTTGCAGCCCAGAGGTTGTGAGTTTGATCCTTATTGAAGGCAGCTTATTTTGAGTCGCAACTTCCAAAGTGAAGAGATAAGAGCAAGTGTGAAGGGTATTTGGACACGTTAAGCTGTAAAGGCACTGGTGGGATTTCAAGACAGGCACTTTCCCCAACTGGTAGTACTTTATAATAACTGCACACTATAAAGCATTAGTTAAGTATGTACCCTTCAGTGGGACACATCTTAAAGATATAAAATATATCATAGTTCAGTGGAGTCCATTCTAACATTTAAGCCACAAGGCGCATTCTTACACATGATATAAATAATTACATGACATGACCAGACATTTACAGAACAGTTTATCAAAAAAAAAAAGACATTCATAGATTCAAAATACACCAGTCATGGATAGTCACAGATGGACCATTTTCATTATCAGATAAAATATCACATAAAATGAGAATGAGAATTTGATATTTAAAAAACCCTCCGTTAATATCTTGCTGTAAGACTTAAGGAGCAGAGTGTAAAATCAGAATGATGATGAGGAAGATTACATGCAGTAACAACACACATTTTGTCACATGAACACATCTCTTACAAATAATAATAAACTGATAAATTAACTAGCCATCATTGTGCTCGAGAAAACAAGCTTCAATATGGAGAGTTTTAAAAAGATCAGTAAAGCTTTTACATGGAAAATACAAAATAAATAATAATAATAATAATAATAATCTGAAAATTGGCAGATTGAAGTAAATCTTTATTTTGGACTGTGGTGTCTGTGGTGCTCAGTTGCTATAATGGCATGAATCTACTCACTCAGATACGGTAGGGGGCGGTATGCACCTTAAAAGTTGGTTTGCTCTCCAGTAAACACACATAGCAGACGAAGAAGAAGAAACTCAGGCGAACTAATTAGTTTGCTTCTGTTAGTTTACCTTGGAGCTGCTGCAGTAAAAGACACATGGAGCCGTCAAAGCGGGACAGTTTACCAGGGAATAAGTTTAACGAGACAACACCTGCTTACAGTTGATGCGCTCACCTGGTCATTGGATATGAAAGTATGGGGGGGTTGTGTAACCAGCGGACGATTCTGGCAGGTAACGTCACCCCTGTCCATATACCTGAGCGTGTTTTTGGTTTGGGATAGGAAAACAAACGCATCTGTCCCTGTATACCTGTCTGTCTGTCTCTACCTTTTGATTTTGCATTTCATGCTCAGGGTGTCTGTCCACCTGTCTGCGCCTCTGCTTGTCCGTGTAAACATGTCTTCACTTGTCTGTTTCCCGAATTCAAATTCAAATGAGCTTTATTGGCATGAAAGTAAGCTACATATAAATTTCATACATTTCATTAAATAGGGAAATAAAACCGTAAAAGTTGTGTGTGTGTGTGTGTGTGTGTGTGTGTTTTAAAAAAAAATAAAAAAATTTTTTTTTATATATATATATATATATATATATATATATATATATATATATATATATTTTTTAATATAATATAAAAACTGTATCAAAATCAGTATCAAATGTGAGATTTAAAGTTTGTATCTGCATTTTATTATAACTACCTGTCTGTGCCTCTTTATAACGACCCCTCTATTTCTTTCTGTCTACCTGTCTATCTCTACTTTTGATTGTCATTTCAGACATTGTGTTTTTGGCTTCCTGTCTGTGTCTGCAGCTTTGTTGTTTTGTTTTTTTTCTACCGGTCCGTCTCTCTAAACACCTGACCTGTCTCTCTGGCTGCTTGACTGTCCTGATTTCAAGGCCACAGGAAGAAACAACTTCAAAAGTCAAGTATTTTATTCAGATAAAAATGAAACCATAGAGTATATAAATAAACATGCACCCTTAAAATAATGACCTCGTGCAGCTGGTCACATGTCTTCAGATTGGACGGATGAGGTGGACGTGGTCTCTATCAATTCCTTCTATGGATGTGACAGCCTTTTAAAAGAAACTTTCAGTCCTTTGACACCTAAACCTCCCACGACAGTCCTGAAACTCTAACCCTCTGCGTGGGGTCACCTTAACTTGCAGCCAGCGTGCATTGCCATATAAAGACAAAATGCATTTCATTCCTGTTTCTAAAGTGTTGCATGTCACTTCCTTCCTCATGCATTTGAATAGACGCGTTTGTCGCCCTGCTTTCGGTTGCCGACTCACGCGCTGCCTGTCGAGTAGTGAGCAGCACAGCAGCCAGACGGACCGACCGAGGAAGAGAGTCGACGAATAAATCCTCCACGCCCAGAGATCACCGTCTCTCACCTCTCAGGTAAATGACATATGAGATCAGGTGGCCTCTGATGCACACATGTGTTTCCTGAAGGCGTCAGGAAATGTTTGCGTGGGATTGTTTAATTCTGTACATTATGTGTGGAAAGGGGTAAGACGGAGTGTGTAACTGTGTAATGTTCAGTCTGCATTTTCACAATCCTCCCTGCAGGCCTTGTTTCTGCTCACAAATTGTCCCTCCTCTGTAAAAAGAACACAAAAACTTAAAACCTGCATTGCTTAGTTTGTATAACTTTGTGCACGTTTGATAAAAATCATTTAAAACTTGTGCTTGAACTGAAAAGATAAGAGCAGTTAGATGCAGAGTGAGGCCTACACACAGAGGGGGGAGAGGAGGAGGAAGAAGAAGTTAAACCACTGCAGCGAACTGAAAGGAAGCTTGTGGTTAGCTTCACTTCAACTGCAAAGAAAACCCCTCCGAGACAGAAACTCTTAAGAGCAGCTCCAGGACAGGGTTTCATTAGTCTTTTATAATTCATGTTGAAAAAGGATCACCAGCTGAAAGAATATAGTTAATGGAAGTCGGGCACGTGTGAGGCATGCTGATGAGCTCCAGCACATGCAAATAAAATCTTACAGGAGGACGGAGGCCTCGCCGCTCAGAGGCGAGTTGAGTCATAAAATCTGATCCACATGATGCAAAACATTCTTCTCCTCTGCGATCAGTCGGTCAAAGATTTAGGAAAATGTAAGTTCAGTGGCAACTGGTGGTAGAAAATATTCCAGTGCTGTACAATTATATTTCAAAGGGAACTACTGAACTCTGTACTTCACATTTATCTGATAGTTTTAGTTGCTGCAAGTTCGAACATAGGATCAACTTCTAAAACATTTCATTGTAATAAAGTAAAACTTCTGATGTACATTTACTGAAGACCTACAGCTCGACTTTAGCTTCATCACATAGCACGACTCAGAGATCAATATCATTATAATGTCAGTATATATTGCAGAGGCTTGAGGAGCATTTAGTCAGGAGGTGATGAACTGGAGGAAGCTGTGGGAGCAGATTTTAAAGGGAGTGCCCACTCACTCAGTATCTAATGGATTAAAGTGTTAATAAGTTGCAGTGATTGATTCCTGCACTTACTGTTAAATCTAACCATTCACATCCCTGTCAGTCTTCAGTGTGGGAGAGAATTTGCATGAGAAGTATTTGTGGTTGACAGTTTATTTCCATAAAATAAACCGCTTCATGGTTGACTGTGCTCACAGTCCATTATTTTAAACTTCACATTGTCAGTTGTTTTTTTTAAATGCTGTGAGATCACAACTTCATTTTGCACGTTACATTTCCAAAAGAAGACGTTCTATTCAGTTGTCACACTCAGATCTGCACTGTATTGGTGTTGGATCCTGGTAAAACCTGGGTGGATCATGGGCTGCAACTTTTTGTTGTATTGATCTGACTGTTAATTTATTTATTTACTTGTTTGGTGTTTAAAGTGATTGATCAAATGACCTCTTCAAATGTCCGGTTTTGTCTGAAATACGAAGAGATTTCATTCACAGAGATGTAAAAAAGAAAAGCAGCACATCCTCACATTTGAGAGGCTGGAACCAACATCTGTTTGACCTCCGACCGCAAAATGAGTTTTACCAGTTGAGCCACAGAGAATTGTTAAAGAAGATTAGTGGTTTATTTTATTAAAACCCCATTAGCTTCTGCTACAGCAGATCTTCTGCAAATCTTCCTGTCCAAATAAAACATATCAACAACACAGTCATGAATGGAAGGTCCAAAATAAACACAAAAAAATGTATAGAATAAAACAGCTAATCTGAAATATTTCTTCTTTTTTTGGCAGTTAGTATAGAGACAGACAGGAAACATGGGGAGACAGGGGGGTGTGGCATGCAGCAAAAGTGCAAAACTATCAATAATATCAATAAGTGGTTCAAATGGCTCCATATGATATAAACACACAAATAATTACAAAATACAGCTACAGTTAAGCACACAAGCTGACACATTAGTAAGGATTGAGACAAAAGAAAAGAGAACCACAGTGCTACCATGGAAATAGATGCTTAAAACAATCAATTAAAAGTGGAAACACTGATAAATATATTATACCAACTGCTGAACAGGAACAGGAAGTTGGAGCTCGCTGCCGTGAACAAAAAAAGTTACATGCAGATTAGGACACATCTTGCACCTTAAATTTCAGATTGACTCATTCGACTAGTTTGCTAAAACAAGAGCGGATGAAAACATTAAAGACCCTTATTTAGCTGTCGGAGCTGCTGAGTTTCATTTCTGCTTCTGACCTGCCGCCTGCAGCAGGACTGCATCTCAGCCAGCTTTCTCTAAATTTAGACCTCAGAGCTGCAAAGACATTAAGGGGACACCTTTCCCTTAAAACAGCTTTAAAAAAGGCCTCAATCATCTCTAAATCTATATCTAATATAAGTCCACTTTAAAGCTTATATGAAGCTTCTTAATGTCCTAATAATGAATGGAAGGCAGGTAAAGATAAAAGTCAGCCCCTAAAAGACTCAAATCATATATTTACATCAGTATAAAAAGTTTCACGAGCAACTTGTTGATAAAGTGACTTATTATCTTCACGCACCAAAGAAAGTAATACATTAATAAAGACTTCCAGAAGAACAAGAACACTTGATTTAGATTTTTTCAGTCTGAAGCACAACAATATTTGATTTTTCCGTCATGTCTAAAATCTGTCAATTTTTTTTAACCCCCTTCAGGTGATTTGATCTGAAAGTTTAGGTTGAGCTAAACTCCTCCGTCCTCTCAGACTCTCACTGACGGGATGAAACAAGATGAATGTGTTAATGAACTGGCAGCAATTTTGATATGATACGTTTCAGTCCTTCTCTGAAGCTAAAAATAACCCTATTTAGGTTTTGGTTAAAAAAAGCTTTATAGAATTATGGCATTATGACCTGACATTTTATAGACTAAACAAATAATTGATTGATCAAAAAAATCAATCAGCAACTGATACCGAAATAACTTGTTAATTGCAACCACTAATTCACTTTACCTCAGCTTGATTAATTTTATTCATCAACTTTAAATAAAAGGTGTATGTGTATATCAGAGCACACACACATTGTGAACATTTTACAGAATAATGAAAGGAACCACTGATTAAACAGTCGAACAGAACAACAGATATTTGACAAATGTTGGTTACATGGGGTGTTTTGTGGGAGAAATATTAGAAATATTAGCCCGTATGAGGAGCTACATTGATTTTAGCCTGTAGGAGGAGGAGCTACATTGATTTTAGCCTGTAGGAGGAGGAGCTACATTGATGTTAGCCTGTAGGAGGAGGAGCTACATTGATGTTAGCCTGTAGGAGGAGCTACATTGATGTTAGCCTGTAGGAGGAGCTACATTGATGTTAGCCTGTGGGAGGAGCTACATTGATGTTAGCCTGTAGGAGGAGACGCTAATGACGACGATAGCCCGTAGGAGGAGCTACATTGATGTTAGCCTGTAGGAGTAGGAGCTACATTGATGTTAGCCTGTAGTAGGAGACTCTAATGTTGATGTTAGCCTGTAGGAGGAGCTACATTGATGTTGATGTTAGCCTGTAGGGGAAGCTAACGTTGCCCTATAAAACCATGTGAAACAGATTGCAATATAATTTTTCCTCTGGAATCAATCTGTATGTTATTAGTAAAATTTTGTGAATTATGTGTAAACTCGTACTGCAGCGTTGGACGGGCCGGGACACGTGGCTCTGAATTATCGCACGTTTTGGACCAGTAACTAACGAGTGAAACGTCTCTTCCTATGTCCCCTACGTGGCGCTGGAGAAAACCAGCTCTTAATATGTTGTGTACCAGCACATGAAGTGTGGACCACGCTGTGAAAATGCCATGTACATCAAATGATTTTTGTCACAAAGGGCTTACTTCCTGTTTCCAGTAGGTGGCGCTATGACATTGAATGAATATTTGCATGTAGATGTGCTCAGGGCGGGTCTTTTTATCAAACATGTAAAGTTTTGTGCAGATGTGAGCATGTCCACCGAAGTTACACCAACTTCCTGTTTCATGGCGAGTCATCAATATTCAACGCCACGCCACAGACACGCCCTTTAACGAAAACTCACAGATAGCAAATCTTTTCATCATCAATGCCTTTAGATTCAACAGCCAAATTTTTAAGTCAATCTGATTAATTCTGTAGGAGGAGTTCGTTAAAGTACAGACCCTTTAAAAGCTAACGTTAAAATACTCAAACCTCCCTTTAACAGACTGAAGGTAAAGTTCTACCTGAAGGTTTCACTCTTTGTGTCTTTCTTCACTTCTAGCTGATTTTTTTTCTTTTTTACCTGTACCCTTTTTTGTGTTGCCACATGTTGGATGTTGGTTGTACAAAATGCAGAGACCAGGTTTCACATCCTGAGACCTCAGTTAGGTTAAAGCAACAAAAGCCACTTTAGTTAAGGCTGGTGGTTTTGGTTAAATGCTTATGTTACAAAACCTTAGGAGGGGTTTTCGAGCATACAAACCTTATCTTTGAGAGACGGCGTTGCCTCACATGGACACAAAATCTCCTGTAATGGCGTCTTGAGCTGAACTGAATGCAGCCTCAGTCTTCACAGATGTAGGTTTGTAGGGTTATATTTTCTGTTATCACGTCACCATCAGGCTGCTTTTCTCTCCGAGCGCTGCAGGAAGTTAACTCGCTCATATTAAAGGTTGAAGTCAGTGTTTGCGGTTTTCAAATGATTAGTGTCAACACACTGGGTCTTTCTTAACGTCTTCCTCTTCACATTAACCAAAAAAGGATCTGCGAACACACGGTGAATCATCAGACTGAAATAAAATGCCTCACGCCAGTCACATGATCAGTTACCTCAGAATTGCTTCACTCTAACTCAATCTGCAGCTCTTGAGAGACAAAACTCAGTAATGTCAGTATTGCTGCAGTTGAATTAAAACACATAATGTACGAACGTGGAAGTTTTCTACACCTTAGATTACATGAGGAGAGTCGGGTGAAAAGGTCGACGCCACTCTCATGTTCGGCCTTTTCAACTGCAAAGCTGCAGCATCTTAACTTTGCATAATCACTGGAAACTGGGGGAATTCGCTAGCCTCTGTCCAAAGGTAACAAAATCTGACCAGATCAGATCTTATTACACGCAGCAATAACAAACAAAGAAACACTTGTCTGTCAGGCAGGAAGAGCAGCAGCAGCAGGAGGAAGTTGGAGGCCGGCAGAAGTGAGAACTGTGAGCAGTTTGCATCACAGAAAAAAAAAAGATACCATCTCTCAAGTTCCTCCTTTTCTGCACTGCTCAGTCTGCCAGGCAGGTTTTAACTTTTTGATTTAAGGATGTTGATTTTTTGAAATTCTGTGTCAGTTTCAGGTTCCCAACATGGCCGCACAAATCTCACCAGAGGAGCAGGAGGAACTCAGAGAAGCGTTCGCCAAAATTGGTATGGGAATCACTGCCACTTCCTCTTTGTTTGATTCAGGAAGGACCAGTAGGGACCGGAGGCCCGAGTTTCATGACAAACATCGGCTTAGACTACAGACTGTTTAGAAAAAGTGGATGTAGCCAGTGTGACGTCCCCGTTGGTTTGTGGACTGCTGTTTTTAAGCCGAGAGTTTGGCATTTTTGTCTTCGCCGTCTTAGTTTTTTGGAACCAGACGTGCAAAGTGCATCTGTAATTCATGATATTAGCTGCAATGCTAATTTTGGGTTTAAAACAAATTGTACTTACCGGAAAAATGAACAGCCGACTCCTAATAAAAATAATAAAAATAAAAATAATAAGCTTGTTCAAAAGCGCTGGTTAAATGAACACAAGGTAGCCCCCCCTGCTTCCTGGTCTCTGTTCCTCTAAATGGGACCATAATTTACTAAATGAACATCATGCTGTGTTGAAGAAGACTTGAAACTAGCGACTGAGACCAGAAACTCATCAGGAAAGTGTTTACTGAGGGAATAAATCAGCTGACAAGTAGGAACATTTTCTCATAGACTTCTATACAATCACACTTCTTTCTGCAGCCGCTGGAGTCGCCCCCTGCTGGCTGCTGGAGAGGACGCAGGTTTAAGGTTCTTCAGCTCTGGCTTCACTTTTCCTGTTTGTTCTGAACTCAGTTTTTAAGATGTGAGAGAGACGATAATCCAGACCTGGACCCCCCTTTTCTCACAGCCTGTAACGTCTGTCCTCTTTATAGATCTGAGTAATAAAGGCTAAACATCCAAGAAACATTCTGAACAAAACTAATTTACAAAAGGTTTTAAACTTATTTTTGTGCATCTAATATGTCAAGCGAGAAGGGGAAAAAGACAGAAATCCTTTTTGAGCCATGAGAGCAAATTCAGATATTAACAGCCCTCGTTCTGAACCTGGACTGAACACAGCTCAGAAACTTTATCTACATTTACGATTTGTTTCTCAAAAGGTTTTGGGCCGTTTTACATCCAGAGAATAAAATTATCCCTTAAGAACCAAGAAAAAGTCACATTTTCTGTCTATGAAGGATGAACCGGGTTTAAAAGCGTATTCAGTGAACGACTCGCAGGTCTCCTGTATGAACACAATATTAAATAATATTAAAGTGATGCTCTCTGTTTGACCTCTGACCTTTCCATCCCTTTTCCAGATGTGGACAACAATGGGTTTATTAGCAAGGATGAGCTCACCGAGCTTTTCAAGGCCGCTAACCTGGCGCTGCCGGGCTACCGGATCCGAGAGATCGTCCAGGAGTTGACTAAGACCAGCGACCAGCTCACCTTTGAAGAGTTCACTGAGGTGAGTTCACAGGTCAAAGGTCACACAGAGAAATAAACTGTCTATTGTCATCACAACTTAGTTCACCTAAATATCTAAAACCTGCTTTGTGTTTCTTCTTGTGAATGAAACTTGAACGCCAAAATACCAGAGGGACAGGCGGCGTAGGAAGAATATTCAGATACTAATACTGTAATACTACAGTACACAAAAACCTGCATTCAAAGTCCTGCTTTAGTAAAAGTACAAAAGTATTATCAGCTAGATGAACAAGTACTACACACTGATTCATGTAAGAGGCAACAAGAGAAGAGTTATTTGAATTTTAATCTGTACGTTGCATTTTATGAGCTCATCGTGTTTTAATAAACAATCTAATGTAAAGTGTGTAGAGACTTAAGATAAGTGTAGTGAAATAAGTTTATTTATTTAGTTCATTTCAACAACAAGGCAATTCATAGTGCTTTACATGAAAGATAAAAGCAACATAAAAATACATTTAAATACAATTTTTCAATAAGATCTATCAATCCAAAATCTTATATTTGATTTAATTAAAGGTAAAAAAGAAAAGTCTTCAGTCTTGATTGAAAAGAACTGACAGTTTCAGCAGACCTGCAGTTTTCTGGGAGTTTGTTCCAGATATACGGAGCATAAAAACTGAACGCTGCTTCTCCAGGTTTAGTTTGGACTCTGGGACAGATGTTCATAATGAAGCAGAAGATCAGAAACATTCAGTGCTTTATAAACTAACAGCAGAACTTTGAAATCAATTCTCTGACAGACAGGAAGCCGGTGTAAAGACCTCATGTGATCCACGTGGTTGGTCATAGCGAGGACTCGAGCAGCAGCGTTCTGAATCAGCTGCAGCTGGTTGGTCAGGGTTTTAGGGAGCCGTGTAAAGACACCGTTTTCCAGGTCCTTTAATCCTTGATTTATCCTCCAGGTGATAGCAGGCTGACTTTGTAACCGTCTTAATGTGGCTGCTTAAATTCAGCTCCATGGGTGCGAAAGTACATCAGAAATATTTATTGATCCCTGGGGGGAAATTCTGTGTCACAGTTGCACACATTGCACATCAAGTCAAAAGGAATATAAGTAAAAATAGAAAGTTGGTTTATAAAGAAGTATATAAATATCAAAAATATATAAAATATTAAGGAATGTGGATAATGTGTACAATATTTACATAATTAAAAGAATTGTTATGGTGAACAAGTAATAATGAATAAATAGTTGCACAATTTAAGGACAAGTACCTGAAAATTCTACTTAAGTTATGTACTTTCCACGGGTAAAAATGAATTTCAGGGAAAGTACCAAACTGTTAGAGGTGCTGCAACAAGTGTGTTGTTTGATCAGCTGCTGCACAGATGACACCGGATTTAACATGTTTTGTCTCTTTATCTGAAGCAACGGCAGGATATCTCATGCACCTGATTTTAGTGTGTTTAGCCTGAACAGATTATATTGTTTTATCTTGATTTCTTCATTTCTTCATTTCCCCGTTTGTCCACCTTTCAGATAGTCCACGGGCTGAAGAGCTCCGAGGTGGCAAAGACCTTCAGGAAGGCGATCAATAAGAAGGAGGGAATCCGTAACGTGGCGGGAACCTCAGAGCAGTCCGGCACTCAGCACTCCTACTCAGGTCTGAACCCGGACACACAGATTAGATCAGATTCATGTTGATGATCAGATTAGAGGATATTAGAACCAATTAGTCGATCTCCAGCTATTTTGACCATCGATCTCCAGCTATTTTGACCATCGATTCAAATCTCTGGCTCTCTCTTCTTAGATGTGACTATTTATTAGTAAACAGAGTATCTGTGAGATTTAGACATTTTCTAAAATGTTATAATCAATATCAACAGAATAAGATGTCACTCGTAGCACAATTCTCCCGATCGCTGTGTCCTTTTCATTGAATCAGCCCGACAACTCTCTCTCGCTGCTGTTTCCGCCCGGATAAGTAGCAGGAAAAAGGACCCAAAGTCGTGAACAGTCGTCATAAACCGGGAGAGGGCGATGAAAATCCCAAATCCAAACTGGGAAATATCAGTCTCCATGTAACTTGAGCCGTTCACACTGTTGTAACCGAATCAGATCTGAGTCCCGAGTGAGCGAAAAGAAATCAGGTTTGGGTCACTCTGGCTGCAGCCTGAACGTTTGTCATAGGTGGACATTTTTTGGGGGGGAGGGGGAAATAACGTATATGCTCACATTTGTGGCAACGATCTTCTCGTCTCACGCTCAAGAAGAAAGAAAAATGTCTAACTGTTCCTTTAATAAAGTGGCCAGCATGATCGTGTCTCTTTGGTTTGAAATAAAACGGTTCATTTATTATCTGAGTCGACGTCGGTAAGAAAGTAATGGAAGGAATTAAGGGCTTCTTTGAGTGAATGAATGAAGGCCGGCTGATGTTTCCCCTCCGTGCATCTGTTTTATAAGGATTATAACAGAACAGGTTGTAATCTGATCATCTCACTGTTGAGCATTGTGAAGAGGTTAAAAGCAGAATATATGGAGACGTCTGTTTGGCTGCTGTCTGTCATTTTCTGATGTGGGCTTTCTCCCGTCTGCAGAGGAGGAGAAGGTGGCCTTCGTGAACTGGATCAATAAAGCTCTGGAGAAGGACCCGGACTGTAAACACGTCCTGCCCATGGATCCGGACAGCGACAACCTGTTCACCGCTATGGGAGACGGGATCGTCCTCTGGTGAGCGCTGCTGATGGAAGTCTGCTCTTTTCTCTTCCTGAGTGAGGAGTTCAGATCAGTGACACACTCATGTCTGTAGCTTCATGTTTACCGTACAGATATGAATGATGTTCTGAACATGTGACTCTGCAGGAAAGTTAATAAGAGTATTTGTTCCGGTTCGGTGGACACGAGGGAGAGGAGTTTGTTGCGTACGTAGAGGAGCTGCTAGCAGGACTTTATTCCAACACAACAAACTCCTCTCTCCGACTCTGACTTTGGTTTCCTGCAGCAGCTGCTCCCGTTCAGCGACACCTGTGTCCTTCAGTAAATGAGCTCCCCCTGGTGGCGGGAGGTTTACCAAAAACAAGTCATTAACATTTAACAAAAAAGGCTCTCGCAGTACTTCCAAGTCATCCAAACACCAACATGTGTGAAAATAGGTTTAAAATACCTGAAGTTACCCTTTAAAGAATGTTTTAGGTTGTTCCTTATTCTGTAAATGTGTCTCAACTGTTATGTGTTATGTGTTCTCCCTTGTTAGTAAGATGATCAACCTGTCTGTCCCCGACACCATCGACGAGAGAACCATCAACAAGAAGAAGCTGACGCCCTTCACCATCCAGGTGAGACAGGAAGTGTCTGCAGAGGAGGCTTCAGCTTGATCTCACTGTATGTGATACCTGCTCTGTCTTTACATCCCGATGTTCATCACGTTCGGTCTAACAGGAGAACCTGAACCTGGCTCTGAACTCTGCGTCGGCCATCGGCTGCCACGTGGTGAACATCGGCGCTGAGGACCTGAAGGAGGGCAGGCAGCACCTGGTCCTGGGTCTGCTGTGGCAGGTCATCAAGATCGGACTGTTCGCCGACATCGAGCTCAGCAAGAACGAAGGTGTGTGTGTGTGTGTGTGTGTGTGTGTGTGTGTTCACGTGGATTTAACTTTGAATCAGTTTTACAATAACGTGTTTCTAACATTAAGTCCGTCGAGTCAGAATATTCAGAACGCCACGCGGACTACAGCCTCAAACAGATCCAGCGTCGTGTCCAGCCCTAAGTGGATTTCCCAAAATGTGAAACTTCAGTGTGTCGTGTTGATGTTTTTACACGTGTGTAGCTCTGATCGCTCTGCTGCGTGACGGAGAGAGTCTGGAGGACCTGATGAAACTCTCCCCCGAGGAACTGCTGCTGCGCTGGGCCAACTATCACCTGGAGGAGGCCGGCTGCGGCAAGATCAATAACTTCAGCTCCGACATCAAGGTGATCACACACACACACACAGAAACAGAGTCCAGCTCTGGGTCAACATAAAACTAACTCGGCTAAACCGGCATCACACGCTGCCTGACAAGCAAACGAGGAAGTTAGCAGCACTCACAGCTGGCTCATATAGTAACACCTGTTCCTGCCAAACCAAAGCGCATTTACTCCGGAGAAATCAGAAGAAACAAGAAACATATTTCATCCCTTGTACTGTTTGTGTGCGTTTCAGGACTCCAAGGCGTACTTCAACCTCCTGAACCAGGTGGCGCCCAAAGGAGACGAGGAGGGGATCCCGCCCATCGCCATCGACATGTCAGGAATCAGGGTGAGAGACTGGAACGTTTCTTTAGGGAGTCTCAGCCGTTTAATAAATGATGTCATTTATTAACCTTTTATAAACCTTTTCAGGGTGAGACAACGAACGAGAAAATATTTGAATAAATACTGAAACATATCAAATATATCCCACAAAAGACTTTAAACATTAAAAACTTAATTTCCTGCGTTCTGGAGAAACTTTCTGCACCAATTTATGGTGGAAATGTTTATTTAAAGAGAAACACAGTTCAGCTGGCAGGTGATGGATCAAAATATAAAAATATAATAATATAATACAGTAATCTTGTGTAAGCTTGTTTTCACTTAACAACGCACGTTTGTTTTGCGTTGCGTGTTTTCTTAATGTGCAAATGAACCTTTCTCAAAGCATTTTCATTTCTTGTTGATATTTCTCGTCCCCGGCGTCAACGACACCTCTGAGCACAATGACAATAAACTTTATATACATACATCCAGACCGAAAGGCACAAAGGTCGCGAGCCTGGCGATTTCACTTTCACATAAAAGCAGCAACATGCTCTGTGACTGGCACAAGGTTTTAGAAAACAATTGATCGGTGATCAGAAAAGTTTCAGCTCCGTTATGATCGAGCGAAAACATCGTTTGTTAGATCACAACCCAGATTTTAAGATGCAAAGTTTCCTGTGTGAAATTCACTGAGAGGACAAATGAGGGAAGAACACTCAACATTTATTTGCTCATTTATTATGTAGTGGTATTAAAGTACTTTCTCAGTAGCTCTTATAAACGGCTGGAATCAAATATAATATTATACATATTTTAACAAGCTTCAGGAAACTACTATCTACATAATTCTCTAATTAAATTTATAAAACTTTGGGTGCAGCTGGTAGTTTATAATCATTCTAAAGTATTAATAATAATCTTTATTTCATTACTTTTCAAAACAAAGTGCTGATTGAACCAGAGTGAAAACATTTCAGGAGGCAAATAAGATCAGATTATTAGAAATAATACAAATATGAAACAGGATAAAACACCGACAATAATCTGAAATAAAAACACTGATGGGAACAATAAAACAGACTGTATAAAAACGTAAAGTTTTGTTGTCCTCGTCCTCGTCCCTGCAGGAGAAGGACGACCTGAAGCGGGCCGAGTGCATGCTGGATCAGGCCGACCGGCTCGGGTGCAGACAGTTCGTTATGCCGACAGACGTCGTCCGCGGCAACCCCAAACTGAACTTGGCTTTCGCTGCCAATCTGTTCAACAAGTACCCGGCTCTGAAGAAACCCGAGAACCAGGACATCGACTGGAGCTCCATCGAAGGTGAGACCTCGCGGCCCTCTGACCTTTTCTCACTGCAAACCTGCAAATGCAGAGACGCAAACAAACTTAAGCTGAGACCAGTGGCCTGTACTACGAAGCGAGGTAACTGGTAGTACGGGTTAACCGGGAAGTTACTCCTGACGTTACCTGGATAAGCCAAAGGTGGACAGGTCTCTAAACCGGGAGGTCACCCTGCACGTGGACTCCACACCACATCTGTACTCAGTGTTAATGATGAGAAGCTAGATATTAATCCACACCGCTTCATAAAACATGTTTAGATTTCATCCCGATTGGCTCGACTGCGGCTGCACTGAAGTTCTGAACACAGCAGCGTCACGTTCAGACAGCGAGCTCCGCAGCCTGGGCTGAACTCAGGAGTGTTTCCTCACTGCTAAATCCGATTGCAAAGTCTAATATAACTTTCCAGTTCATGCATAATACACGGCAGACGCGCGTGTGTGTGTGATGTTGCAGCCTTGCAAAGTGAAGTTTCTCTCATAAATGTGTGACTATAATGTCAGAGAATATTCAGGTTTTTTACTTGTAGATTAATCTTGGAAATTAAATTCTGTCTGGGATTATTCCCCCTCTCCGCCGGCTCCTTTTCTTCTACTGCAGTGGACCTTATGTGCAGATGTCCCTTTTAAATCTTAATCATATTACACATAAAATAAGAACACTGAAGATAATTAGGCTACAAATTTACTCAATGTGATGCAGCAACAAGCCTCCCTGGCTTTGTCGGCGGCCGCGGTTTTAGATTTGGTCTTTAATCTCGTCATATCCTGACACTATCTACGTGCGTTCTACTTGTGAATACCTCTGTCTACACGGCCGAACACGCCCCTTTTATGCGAACACCGACTCAACTAACCAACATCTCATCCACCTTCGTAGTACCGTTTAACTCCAGAGTAGGCGGTCAGAGTTTGTCGACCCCGAGTTACCTCTGAGTAGGTTGAACTCAATCAGCCGCTCACTAATGTGACCAGATGTTTTTGCAGTGAAGTCTGATGACCGATCTTCTTGGTGGCGTGAACAGATGCAGGTCCGTTACGCCTCCTCTGCAGTATTTCCTGACTGTGCGTTTTTAATCCGGTGTTTTCCTCCAGGTGAAACCAGGGAGGAGCGAACCTTCAGGAACTGGATGAACTCTCTGGGCGTCAACCCTCGTGTCAACCACCTCTACGCGTAAGAACACTAGTCACTAGTCAGACACTTCCTGCCTTTAGAAACGTGGATCAGAACGGAGCCTAACGCGCCTGATAATGCAGGCGGACTGTGCTTCATGAAAGGTCATGTGACGTGTGTGTGTGTGTGTGTGTTACAGAGACATCGACGACGCCCTGGTGATCTTCCAGTTGTACGAGAAAATCAAAGTACCGGTGGACTGGGACCGAGTCAACAAGCCTCCCTACCCCAAACTGGGCAGCAACATGAAGAAGGTACAGCGGCTAATCGAGTCCGTCCTCCTCGCAAACTTCAGGCTGGAAAATTTAAAACACTGGAGCAGAAAAACGCCACAAATATGAAATATTTAGAATTTTGTTCCACAATGAGCCGTCTGCTGTTTGACTCCACAGCTGGCAGCGCTGAGGCTGAACGTAGACACAGCACTATGGTACACTCATTATATACCGTGTATACTATTGATTCTACATAGGGTACATACTAATACTATGAAGTGTATACTACATACTTATTCTACCAAATATATTACAAACTAATACTACAGTAAATAATGCATGCTAATATAAATTGTTCACATACATACCAATTATATAAAGTCAACTCTTCATACTAATTATATATAAATACTAATATTACAAAGTGTGTTCTACATTATTAGTGTATTCTCTAGTGTATATTACATGCTTACTACATACTAATACCACACATTTCTCCTGACGCCCGTGTGTGACCTCGATACTACTCCGTACACAACAAATACTTCTGCAGTAGCATCAGCTGTAAACTAAACTTGGACTCTTTGTTTGGTCCAGCTGGAGAACTGTAACTACGCTGTGGAGCTGGGAAAGAAGGAAGCCAAATTCTCTCTGGTGGGCATCGCAGGTCAGGACCTGAACGCCGGGAACCGAACCCTCACCCTGGCTCTGCTCTGGCAGCTCATGAGGAGGTAGCAAACTTTAAAATCTTCATTCTTTCGTACCGTCTATGGCTCCATCAGACCGTCGGCTCGTCAGTGGAGATTTGAGCAAAACGTTCTTTTCTTTCATTGTTTGTAGCTGGTTTAATAGACCCGTCAGTTCTCTGTCACTTATCTGGGTCCTGGTGCCAAAGTTCATGACAGTCCGTCCAACAGTTGTTGAGATTTTGTTCTGGACCGATGTGACTTTAACACGGAGCTGCTAGAGTGGCTAAAATAATATTTACATTAAAGCAAAGCCCTGATCAAACCTTGCTGACAGGGGGAATTTAATACGTTTAATAAAACGGCATCATGTTTTGGTTATTTCTGCATCGTTTTGATCCGTTAATGAAATCACAGTAACATGTTTTCTTTGATGTGGTCATTTCAAACGTCACAGAAACGATACTAAAAGAAATTCTTCTGTGCAGATGGTTTTGAAAGCAGGTGTTGTGGCTGAGTTTTATTTTATGTTATAATTAAATGTGCTTTAAAATATTTTACCATATAAGTGTGTGTGTGTAGCATGAAGGCAACTACAAACCTTCAGTTTCATTACACAACCTTGAAAAGATGGCTTCCCCTCACGCTGCCCGTTTCCCTCAGATACACCCTGAACATCCTGGAGGACCTGGGCGACGGGCAGAAGGTGATCGACGACACCATCGTGACCTGGGTCAACGACAATCTCACGCAGGCCGGCAAACCCACCATCTCCAGCTTCAAGGTAACGATTCTCCCTCGGTGCAGAGACGGTTCCTTCAATCTCTGCCCCAGATACGTCGGTGTCGGCTCGATCAGATGTTGTTCAGATCCTACGTTTTGTGTTGGACTGGATTTACAAAATGCTTCTGGACCGCGTTTAATGTCAGGACATATTTTGTGTTAAACCATTTAGATTTCTGTCTTTAAATTAAAACACGTCAGGTGTAGATTCGTTGATGTGAGGATGATTCATGTCCCAACGTTTAGATCTCTGAAGCTGAGCGAGTAACAGCTCCCTGGTTAATTAAAGGGTATATTTGAACCTTTCCCCACGTTTGTGTAGAGAGTCTGTGAGCACGCTGCAGTCGGCAGCAGAGAAACAGGCCTGCAAGCTTAAAGTGCGTCCACTACAGTTCTAGTTTTTGCTGCCGATCAGCTCAGATTGTGACTGACAACATTACGGAAAGCGACCAAACAGAGAGCAACGGTTCAAAAGATGTCCCAGATAGTCACAGGCTAAAAGATCCCAACGTTTACAGCTGTGTAGCTTTATATTTACTGTACAGACATGAGAGGCGCTCAACTTCTCATCAACTCTCAGCAGGAACGACAGGAAGTGTTTTTCTGCCTCAGACGCACCAGATTCGATGAGTGATGCTCATCAGAGGAGTCAAAGCTGCAGAGATTAATGGTGTGTGTGTGTTTGTGCAGGACGGGTCCATCAGCAGCAGTATGCCGGTTCTGGACCTGATCGACGCCATCCAGCCCGGATCGATCAGATACGACCTGCTGAAGACAGAAGACCTGACCGAAGAGGAGAAACTCAACAACGCAAAGTACGAACACGCGGAGTTCATCGTCTTTCTCATTTTGTGTTCATTTGAATGAATGTAATTAACCGACATGAGATCAGAAACCTCGACGTCTGATTGGTTCCTTTTCACTCCTGTTTTATTAAGAGAACTGAACAAAATATATTTGACATCATGAAACGCATCAGATTGCTCTTAGTCGTTTTCAATTATCAACCACATTTTTTTCCAAAATTGACTGATAAGCGGCAGATTTATCATCAATAATTTGTACTATTTGAAGCAAAGTCATTTTTTTTATAGCAGCCAATTTCATTTGGTTTAAAAAGATCTGGATCCTGGTCTTTTTTTTTTTTTTTAGACAAGGAAGAGACAAACTTATCCAGTCAGAATCTTTCAAATCATCTCTTCTCTTCGTGCTCACTTGTTGTCGTTGTGTCACCAGGTACGCAATCTCCATGGCGAGGAAGATCGGCGCCCGGGTGTACGCGCTGCCAGAGGACCTGGTGGAGGTCAAACCCAAGATGGTGATGACGGTGTTCGCCTGCCTCATGGCACGCGGCCTGAAGAGAGCCTAAAGACCACGACGCCGACCTACCGGGGAAATAACGGAAGCTCAGCTGTGTTTTTAAAACAGGACAGTTAAGAGAGAGAAAACCTCTGAGTGAGCTGAAATATTGGATAAAAGGTTTCTAACGGGATACAGATTATGGTACGACTTCAAAACGGCAGCAAAGCCTTAAGGCCAAAGGGAGGGAATAATTTAGAAGAGTTCAGGAGTTTCATTTCTACATTTAGAGGCAGAACATCCTCTGATTGGTTCATTAAATCCGCATGTTTTTCTTTAGAGCAGGTGTCCGCAGCAGTATTGCAGGTTTATCACGACGGCTTTGTTGAAGTGTTTGTGGCGTCTCAGCTGATTACAAACCAAATCACAACTTCTATGCCAAATGTACGCAAACAATAAACAGACTTTTGTAAAGTGTTTTTTACTCTCCTGCTATCTAAATGTTTGCACCTCACATTAAAAAGGTACTTTGTGGGGGGGGCGGGGTCAATCTCTCACCTTGCTGCAGTGACGTACAGGTGTACCGGGGGCCGCTGTGACATCACTGCTGGGTTTAAAACATCTTTCCCCAAACTAACAAACGTCGTCAGCAGAGGGTCAGCTCCACGTCTACAAACACATCTCAGTAACTCGCCTCGCGGCCTTTGAGGAGCGAGAAAGTTCCCGACGCGTTGGGGACCACCGACTAGTTTCTTCACACACGTGGACGACCTGACGACACGTTAATGAAAGCACAAACAACCCGACAGACTCAATGAAACGGTCAGTTTAATTAGAGAAAGTTTGCGTGGAAAGAAAACAAAAAGGTACAAAACGAAATGCTGAACTGCGTTAATCCTTTTTTACTTTGTGGGAAAGAGGGAAACGGTGACAAAGCTCAAAGAGGATTTAGAGTCTGGAGGAAACGTCACTACATTATTTACAATATTAACTGATTTGAGCCGGCAGCACCGGTTCCTGGTGAACCAAACCGTGTCCCTCTGATGGTTTAAAGGCGTCCGTCTGCAGCGTCTCTGCGAGGACCATCATTTGGCAGGTTTGGCCTCGGTGGGGTTTTCTCCGGTGTCCAGGGTCTTCAGGAGGCGGAACAGGCCGGCAGCTTCGCGGATGCGGCTGAACTCGATGCAGAAGGCCTGAACCTCGATGAAGAGGTCCTGCACGTTGATGATCTTGTTTCGGATCAGCGACTGGAGGAAGACGCAGACCAGGCGGACCAGGCGGTTCTGAGAGAAGAGGAAGACCAAATATTAGAAACAAGTCATTTCAAAAGCTGAACAGGAAGCAGGACGCGCTGAACATTCATGTCTCTTTACGTCCATGAACAGGAACACGTGGGGCTAAAATGAACAGCGACGGGTCAGCAGGGAAACCTCACGTTTCTCAAAACAGACGTATTCAACACATTTCTCTCAACAACACGGTGACACATTTCGTTTGCTGATAAAATCCAAAACAGTCCAAATTATTATTTAGGGTGAGACACGATATGATATATTCATGAGATGGAGACAAGATTTTAACACTCTTTTTAAAGGAATCTTCAATGCTGAATAAAATGAAAGTTTGGAGCATTAAAAAGTTATTTATCTGCACTAATTTATGGTAGAAATATTGTCATCTATGTAAAGGGAAACTTCAGGTGGGAGGTGACAACTCAAACCAACTTCACAGAGTTCTCCTGCGTGCCGCTCGAGTCCACGAGAGGCGTCTCTCTGCAGAGAGAACGCATCAAGCTGCAGGAATTCAGACAGAGAAACCGGTCAATTTTCATAATGAGACACCCTCTGCAGACTCCCAGTCATAAAACCAACAATAACCACAGTTAAACTGGTTCCATGTAGCCAAATCAACTAAATCTAAAAACTGTCTCACTCTGATTCTGAAATGCTCCCTGAAGGATCTGCAGCTGTGCAGACAGAGAGGGTTACAGAGAGCCGGGACCGGTAGGCCACGAACAACAACACAAAAAGGACTAATTAACAACAAGCCAATAACGTGGGGCTGTTGAAACGCATCCAGGGGAAGTTGAGGTCAAGCAAGGGACGGAAGAAAACCGCGGCGCAGCTGGAGTCAGTACCAGAATGTAACATCATCCGTCTTCCCTCCTCTTTGTGTCTTTGACTGTGGCTCCTTTTCACCTCAATGAGAAATTAATCCATTTTAATTCAGTTACAAACTCCTGGACTTTAATTCATAGTTTGCAGTCACGTGACATGCGCGGCGGCCTGGAGGGCAAAACAACACCCCAACATCACACCGCGACTCCCCCGTGGAGACGCCGCAAAAGCAGTCAAATTTTATTTGGATCACCTCTCAACTTAAGGAAAAGAAAGAGACTAACACAAACTGCAAGTGTCGGGCTGATCCGTGTCACAGCATCAGCTGCCGCCGCCGCTCCACTGCGGTAATGTTTACTTTGACCTTGTGGGGAATCCCTCACCTCACAGCCCCGGCTCGTCTCCTCCTCGATAGTGCATACACAACCATCAAGCAGTTTGCAAAAGTAACAAGCTCAAAGTAACAAAGTGTGTCACGTGCAGAAAATAACGTCTTTTTTTGCCCTCTAAGGGAGCGTTTTCCTTAAACTATGAACAGCTCCTGTGTTTCAGCAGCTTTTCTGCTCGTGTCTCCCCCACAGATCTGTGTCCTCTGACAGGTGCAGAGAAAAGGCAGAATATTACCAGACTAACGTCATCATTTAATTAGAATTCAGAATATCTCTGCTGTAAGTTTCAGACGAGACAAGAAAACTGAAATCTCACCACAGATCTACACACTTCAGCAGCTCTGATAAAGTGCAGAGCGAGGTTGCTCGTTATTCTTCAAATGTTCTGTACCTGCATGTATTTGTCTTTGATTTGCTCACAGGTGGAGATGCAGTTGGAGATGTAGAGGTGGATAAACTCTGGAGGCAAGTCGACGGCTGTGGTCAACCTGAGGAAGCAACAATAACCGATAAAATAATCAACGCTGAAAGAAGAACAGACTTCAGTGTCCCGCCCTGTGCAGCAGCCGTTTTAGAGAATCAACACGTTTTTGTTATTAATCTAACTTAAAGTAAGCAGAAGACAAACAGCAGCTGGTGAGGTCTGGTTTGAAGCCGTTCTCTGCTTTCTTATAAATTAATCCACTTCACACGAGGCCGCCCCCCCGACAGCGCGAGCCTCACCTGTTCACCACCTCCATGGAGTGCAGCGACATGTCCATGTTGACCAGCACTGAGAAATACTCTGTGATCTGGCTGCTCTGCATCAGCTTCAGCAGCATCTCGATGGCCACCAGCGGGTTGTTCTCCACCAGGTCGGGGAGCTTCGCCGGGGACAGGCCGATGTGATAGACCAGCTTCGGGTCCTTCTCCAGCTCAGCCAGCAGCTGGACGGACACAGAGACTTAGTTACAGTACGAAGAGACCTCCGGGCTACGCTTCCCCTCGTCGGGACGCCGCGGCGCCGTCGCTTCGGAGCGTACTCACCTGGGACTGCTGCTGGGCCGACAGCGGGCTCTTGAAGGCCTTGGACATGATGCGTTTGATCTCCACGCCGGTGCTGTTCTTCACACACATGGAGCGATCCCACTGGATGCTGTGATCCGGCTCGGTGGGGTTCAGCCACGCCAGCTCGTCCTCGCACAAGTGCAGAGGAGGCGGCGGCCGGATGAACTCGGGGCGGAAGTGACCTGAGGACGGAGGGAGGGAAGGGGCGGACAGGCTGTTAGGACGGACATCCCCCGTAGCTCGTATTTATTTTAGTCTCTTGTGAATTAACGTCCAAACAGTTCTCGCCGCCAAGTGCTTCTGTCTGTATGCGTCTGTTATGCAAATAAAGGAGCCAGGTTCAGGTGTGAACGCTCGTTTTTTAATGAACTGATCGTGTCCGTTTGTGAACTCATGCAATGTTGAACTTCATATAAACTACTAAAATAACAGAAAGGAGGAAAGTGTAATTTATACTCCTGCGTCGAATCGAGGGCGTGGCCTCTGCGTAGGGGGGCGTGTTCTGGCGTGCACCTCCTCATAAATGTGACGTAGACCCTACGCAGGACTGTAAAACCAGCACTTTTTTAATATGATTTATGATACATTTAATATGATGCAGCCAATGGAACATAGAAGATCTATTCATGAGGTCAAACAAATACACGCTAGATGTTTTATGGCGGGCCGCTGTAAACGCACCATCAACAAATTTAATACCTACAGTAAACTTAATTTCCCTTTTTTTTATTTTAAGACCTGTTTTAGTCACCTTTGGCTTCTTTAGCTCAGCAAATCGACCCTAACGTGACCTGTGTCGAAGGATCTGCGGCTGGACAACCGGTGATGTGTTAGCAGGCTGCAGGAAGGAGGAGCATGGCGGAGGCGTTCGCCGTGAGCCACTTTTTATGATACAAGGACTTGAGGGTTTTCTTCGCCACCGTGGCCCAGTGTTTGCTCGTGGCGGGAACTGTTGGGTCTCTTTTCATACAGAGCAGGTCTAAACCGAGTCTTTGTAACTTCTCTTAACATGGACTCTAAAGTGGCTGCAGGTCTTGGTTCCTTCCAGTCAGCAGACCGGGAGAAGAAGGACGATGTACTGTGAGGAAAACCGCAAACAAGGTTTTCCCTCCTTCCTCTCAGCTGATCAGTCATACTCTCTCTGTCTCTCCCTTTTAAACTGAAGCTGAACTTTCATTTCACTTGTTCCTTTTTAATTAATGTTACAGTTGCATCACAGAGGAACTGGTTCTGGTTTAGAGGCCCAGTTCCTCAATAAATCTCCTAAGTCCCCTGGGAAAGTTCCTGCGCTGGACACGACCTCCGACTCGGTTCCGTTTTCTACACATTTAAAAACAACAATGGCGTCAAAACACACTCACTCTCCAGCGGAGGGCGGGGCCCCGTGACCAGAGACTCTATGATCTGATTCGCCACTGAGCTGTCGAATCCCGAGTTGGACGAGTCCGGATCGGGGTCGTTGAGGATGCTGGGGAAGCTGGCTTTACTCTGCGTGGGCAGCTCTGACTGACGCTCTGAAAAACAGACAGACTTCAGTCAGTAAAGAAAGAAATGAGGGCAGGTGGACGCGGCCTGCGCTTCATAAATCTCTGAACAGCAGACATTTAAAGTTCTCTGAAGACGGGATAAACGTCGGTGTGGACTGACCTGCTAAGGCGAGCTGCAGCCCACTGATGTCGATGGACTGGGGCATGTTGCCGGCGTCCATGCAGGACACCTGTCGGGGCGTCTTCTTGAACAGATCCCTGGGCGGCGCCAACATCAGCTGGGACAGGAAGAACTTCTCGGGCTGGGTGATGGGAGGCAGGAAGCCTGGAGGGGTCACATGACACAGGGACGTCACGAGAACCGATACTACGTGACGGTCCTCGTTTCTCTAGGTCCTGTAGATGGCGGCCGCTGCGGCGACAGCTCCGCTTTAGTTTATTTCACCACTATGAATATTGCTTACATATCAATGAGGAATCATTTGTTTGATCTAGCTCAGAGAGACGGCCAGTGAAGCACACAGCCAGCTGATGCATCCGTCCACAAATATAGTTTCAGATTTGTGGAACCTTTATTCTGATTGTGAAAATGCAAAAAAAAGGACCAAATTAAACCATATAGATCACCATTTTGTTGCAAATTCACAAATAGAATAGAGGTTTCACTCCTGAACCTGTGTTTTAAAGAAACATTAACTTCTCTGGGAAATGCTAGTCCAGACCTGACAGCTCCAGGGATAGTGGTTTCTGATCTGGACCTGGTCTAATGTGGTCTACATAAGAAACAAACATATAAATCGTCCTTTTTTGCATTTTCACAAGTAGAATGAAGGTTTCATAAATCTGAAACTGTGTTTTAAAGAAACTGTAACCTCTCTGGTTCAATCTAGTCCGGATCGGACAGCTGTATGTGGACCTGGTCTAATGTGGTCTACATTTCTTAAAAAAATTAAAAAAACAGTGAAATTGCAATTTCCTGCATTTTCACAAGTAGAATGAAGGTTTCATAAATCTGAAACTGTGTTTTAAAGAAACTGTAGCCTCTCTGGAACAATCTAGTCCGGACCTGACAGCTCTAAGTAAAGTGGTTTCTGATCTGGACCTGGTCTAATGTGGTCTACATAAGAAACAACCATAAATAGTCCCTTTTTTGCATTTTCACAAGTAGAATAAAGGTTTCCTAAATCTGAACCTTTGTTTTAAAGAAACTGTAACCTCTCTGGTTCAATCTAGTCCAGACCTGACAGCTCCAGGGATAGTGGTTTCTGATCTGGACCTGGTCTAATGTGGTCTACATAAGAAACAAACATATAAATCGTCCCTTTTTTGCATTTTCACAAGTAGAATGAAGGTTTCATAAATCTGAAACTGTGTTTTAAAGAAACTGTAACCTCTCTGGTTCAATCTAGTCCGGACCTGACAGCTCTAAGTAAAGTGGTTTCTGATCTGGACCTGGTCTAATGTGGTCTACATAAGAAACAAACATATAAATCGTCCCTTTTTTGCATTTTCACAAGTAGAATGAAGGTTTCATAAATCTGAAACTGTGTTTTAAAGAAACTGTAACCTCTCTGGTTCAATCTAGTCCGGACCTGACAGCTCTAAGTAAAGTGGTTTCTGATCTGGACCTGAGTTTCCCTGAACTTTCCGCTTAACTTCCTAATCGGAAGCTGTGATTCGGTCGCTCCGTCTTGGCATTACAGATGAATAAATCCTTGAATAACAAACACGTACCTGACAGCAGCTTCTCCGGCTCCTCCCCCGCAGGTGCGGGGTTCAGCAGGTGGGCGAACACGGCGGCGAACGGGTTCGCGGCCAGCGGCTCGGTGCGGTACATCTCCCAGAGCAGGTAGAGAGCCGTGAGCCGCTGCGGGGAGCTGGGCAGCAGGTCCGGCTGCTGGAGCAGCATGACCAGAACCGAACCCACCCTGAAGTGCTCCGCCTTCCCGAAGTAGTGGTGGAAGTGTGTGGAGAGGCTCTCGAAGGTGTTGGTGCAAGCCTCCTCCGAGATGATGCTCAGCAGGTTGGACAGCTCCTTCGGGGCCAGGGTCATGGTTCCGTGGAGATCCGGGACTAGTTTAAGACTGTCGGTCAATACAGCGAACAAAGCATCCCCGTGATAAACCGAGAGAAGTTAATTCATGTTTGAAGCAGAGGACAAATACAAGTCTGAAAGTCACCAGCTAGCAACGAGTTAGCTTAGCACAGCAGCGCTAACTGACAAGAACCGGCGGAGTCATGGTCCAAACGGGAGAGTCCGGCCGGCAGAGTCCAGTCTGACCGGGTCGGTACCAGCATAAGAGTCTTACAGAGCCAGAAACTCTCAAACCGAGCCAAATGTCCCGATATTGCGAAGTGTCGTCGGACTGCTAACACACGCCTGCTGCATTAGCCGTTTAAATTCTGATTTGAACCGTCGGGCCGCGGTGCATTGTGGGACCTGTAGTTGTACACGCTGAGGTTTAACTTCCTCACAAACCGGATTCTTGTCTCCAGAAAGACGAACAAACCTCTTACTTACTTAAAATCTGCGGCAGCTAAACCTGCTACACATAAAAACACCACTTAAAGATAAAACTGACCTGGAAATAGTGGAAAACTACACGGGCTAACTAGCTCTTCTCTTTACCCACAAGCCCTTGCGATGTCTTCACGGTGTTTCGCTTTGTCAATAAAGTTTACAAAAACCTATATTTTTCTATTTTTAAGAGTTTAAAAAAACATAAAAAAAGCTTGAAGTACATCCAATACTTATTATAGAAACATTATTTATCTATTTTTATATTTATTTGTTTCTGTGGTTTCGCTGCATTGGTGTGTCTGTTAATACACCGTTGTTTTAATAAAGTTTTGGGAATGAAAAGTCTCTGTCAGTCAGAGGTGGATGGTGGTATACTTCAGTAAAAGTACTGACACCTCACTGTAAAAATACAGAAAGTACTGCATCGAACATGTAAAAGTATGAAAGTATAGGAAAATGTACTTTACTGTACGGGTTTTAATTTTTCTTTCATTTCCTTCCACTGCCGCAGAATAACCAGCGAAGGTAAAGACAAAGTTTAGGTCAGAAATAATGTAAATTCCAGAGATTTACAATTTACAGGGATTAATACTGAGTTAACATCTAATTATTCTGCAGCAGTGGAAGGAAGTTAAACACATTTCTACAGTAAACACCTTGGAGCTGCCTGCTAATTCACCCTCAGAAGCTTTATTTTGACTAAATTATATATATTATTTATAATATTAATGAAGGAAAACAGACCCGCTGGTCGTCGGTTGATCCTACAGAGAAATAATGAACAAAACTCCTTCATTTAATGTATTTTAGATCTGAAAATTTCTGTTTCTGTGAAATGTTTTTAACTTTTGCTGCTTACTTTGGGACCATTTAAGGTTTTTCACTTGAACTATTTAGATGTTGGCTGTTCTTAATCTTCTGACCGGTTGTGTATTTCTGAAAATACTGATGAAAGTTTTGTTTTACTTTGGAAAAATTTATTGTTTGGTCTCTGAGAAGATAAAACAGTTGATTAATCATAAAAGCCAAATTTCATTTCCATCAATACACATAAAAAACTTCACTTCAAATGATAAATGTTTTCTATTCAACACTCTCCAAAGCAAAAGGAAATTAAAACTATACCAGCTTTATTTGTATTTAACATTTTTATATAGAACATTATTCCCTCCTAGTGCTAAACTTTTTCTACTTTTGAACTTGTTGCAAACTTAAATAAAAACTGATTTAAAAAACTTATAACGCATTTAATATTTAGATGTTTGTTTCCCAATAATTCTGAATTAAATAAAAATTTTAAAAATCCTTATTTCTAAAAAGCAAACTGAGTATTAACACAAGAACAAGTATTTTCTAAAGTATCTTAAAGTATAAATTATCAGTGATTAATCTTGTTCTAATATTTCAATTAAATGTCTGTTTAAGGACAAAATAAATGTCAAAGTGTGTTAGAAAACCCACTGAGACGAAATAAGAGACAGTAACACAGGCAGGCTGTTAAAACATTTACTTTCTTACAAAAACAGGGATGTGCTTTCACTTTGGAAAACCAGAAAGCTTCTCCAGGCGTCACGTTCTACCAGGAAGACACTGAGGAGGGTTTACAGCAAGAACTACGAGAGCTTTCGTCTCTTATTAACGTGTGCAAGCAAAATAAATGACTTGTTTTTCATTCAAAGAAGTAAAAGACAAAGTTTTCCCAGAAGGCTCTGATATATCCGTTGTTTTTAACCACCTGAATGCTGCACGGCTCTTTGCTGATACCAGATTTGTTAAGACTTTGTTGGACTGGGTCTGAAGTCAGAGGTTTAAAAGATCTGCAGGGAGAAAGAACGGCCTGGAGAAGCCGCCTGAAACATTTCACAGATCATCTCACTCGACGCCATTTAAAGGGATACTGCAGGCAAACAAAAACCAGAGCGCGCCTAAATGTTTAGGAGCCAGCACGCCAGAAACCACAGCGTCACACGTTTGATCCAGATCTCAAGGATCGCTGATCAAATGTGACTGAAAAAAGGTCCCACGGTGCTCCACAGGAAGGGGAGGGGCTTAGGCGCTCTATTAATTTGGCACACTCTGGTTTTCGTGGTAAAACGCCTTTTAAATAACACACCCAGAAAACACGGTTCTCACGGTCACGTCAGTCCACAAGGATCACACGGTTTCTCACACACCTGCATTCACACCTGGATATATGGCACAAGAATATCCACCATCTGAGAGTCAGTCTGGAGTCCAAACACACAGGAATAAAGCACCGACCACGAACGTCACGACCTCCAGCTGATCAAACAGAATCAAGCAAGTTGGTGAAACTATAGAAGAAGAAAAAAAATAGAAAACATCGTTATATAATCAGGCATGCAGGTAAAACACACCGTCAACTTCAGAACGGGCGACAGGTCCAAAATCTCCACCGGGGCGGTTTGGTATTCACTTCACTAACGGGACACAACGAGGCAGCAAAACCACAAAGGGGTCCGGGATGAGACAGGGCAGGGGAGCTCACGTTAAACGCTTCAGTTTACGGGGGGAGTCTGGTGTGAACTGCTCCCTGGCTGTCCAGAGGAAGACCTCAACCTGATCTGAGTCTACTAATATGTTTTAGTTACACGTCAGTATTTATGGTCTCAGTTTTTAAATGTTCACCATCTTGTGTGAGTGTGTTAGGAAACGATCACCAACGTTAATACGCTTCATCCTGAGGGGGGCATGAAGGTCCGAACCGCATGTCATCACAATCTATGCGACTTTACCGTATCTAGAGTCCGAACACTTGGAGCTGCACCTGTGCTGAGGTCTAACAAAAGTGCTAAATGCATTTCCGTCCTCATGAAACATTTGCAAAGCCCATTTGTATTTTGAAATCTGCATTGTTAGGCTCCCTCCGTGTTAGTTAGTTGCAGGTCTGGGGCGACTCATCGATTACCAAAATACGATGATTTGCATAAGGTTGCGCGTCGCAGTGAAGTCCTGCACCAGGTTAAAGCAGTGAAACCTCACGCACATCATCTGAAGTGTGGGAGTGTTTTCAACAGAGACTCTGTGAGCACAAGAAACGTGATTTGTATTTGAGTCATGCCCTGGCGTGTTGCTGCTGCCTGTAGATCAGAGGAATACTGTGAAACCACTGGCGGGAATGTGAACACATCACATGCATGTGTGCGTGAAAACTTCTCCACAGGGAACCTTTTTTTAAAAATCGCTCATCTTTGATTCCTCGTCCAAACTTTTAGACTGTTAAATTTCAGGTGCATGAATAGTTTCAAACGTGACGCAGCTACAAAAAATAAGAACGAGGGCCGGTTGAAAAACCTGAACTGTCCTTCAAAAGGTGATGAAATCTAAATCTTCTTCACTGAGCAGCAGACGTGTTTCAGGTCAGCTGTTCTGTGTCCTGTGGAACACTAACGGACGGACACAAACACATTGATTTATTTTATCAGTGAAACAAAAGCAGGTGAGGATGAAGATTATTTAAAAAGTGGAAGAAGTCTGTTAATATTACAAAGAGTTCAGTCTGGACCTGCTCTGTTTGAAAAGCTAGATAAATAAAACTGAATGCTCTTTGTCCTAAAAGCAGGATTAGAAAATGCATCTCTGAGACTTTTGGGCCAGTTCGAAGTGTTTGAACCCTGAACTCTCTTCTGTCCAGAAATAATGTCAGATTCTCTCTCAGAGAGATTTGGAGGGCTGGGCGTGTTTACGGAGCTTAGCTTCTGGTGCTAAAACTTAGCCGGTCTGTAAAAGCTCCCGACAGAGAGGTGAGCTTCAAGAGAGGAGATTTAGTGTTTAGTGCAAAAGTGGCTTCAGCTTCCTTTCATTCTGTCTGTTCACTCTGGGATCGGATCCCAAAATATGTCATGTGACAGTTCCTTCATACAAATAATCTCAAGTCTTGGCTGCGAGTGTGCTCTGTGGGAGGGTCGGGACGAGAGAGGGGGGGGGCAGAACCAACTACGGAAGCCCACAGAGGACAATCTGTAGTGTACAATATCAGTTATCTTCTATTCTTGTGATCACAAAAAAAAAATTAAATCATGACCTGAACAAGATTTGTTTTCCTGCTAGCATTAAATTTCTATTCTACAATTGCACCAAATAAAGTGCTGAAGACGACAAAAGTAATTTCACAATGAGAAGTTAAACTTCTTAAACACTCACTGCGTCCTGTCTTAGCCAGACAGGCGCAGATATTTTCTAACCACCTGCTGAACATTTCTGTCCCTCTGAGATGTGGCGGAGTAGAAAATACTCAAGTATCTCTAATTTGTAGTTAAATACAGTCCTCATGAAGAGGGAGGGAGATTTCTTTATGTAGCTGAGGAATCTCAAGGTTTCAGGAAAACAAACTTGTTACGTCGGGATCTTCAAATACTTTTCATGTGATCAGAAGAAAACTCACGTCCTCCCTGACCGTCAAACTTTGGCTGCACCGAATAACAACATGAAGACAAACGTATTAATACTTATTGGAGAACCCCTAAGTGCAAGGCCTTATGGGTAGAAAGAGACGGATGTAGCTCAGTCAGGAGGAGAATCTCCATCAAATAAAATGTTAGTGTTTTTTTGTTCCCACGCTCTGACTGGCTTGTGATTGGTTAGCGTGAATCTAAAAGGAACCAAAAACAAAAAATGGAACCGGGTCGTCTTTTCCCTTCTGGTTCAGATCCGAGAAACTGAACTGGACCCGAACGAGCGAGGCGACGCCCGTCCGCAGACGGAAGAGGAGCGACTGGACACACAAAGAAAATAAAAACTTCTGTTTCCTCAGTCGGCGTAGTGCATGATGGACTCCACGTAGTTTCCGGGGAAGAGGCCGGTGGTCGCGCTCATCACTCCTTCAAACCACCCGTCCTCGTTCTTCTTGATCACGTAGATGATCGCTCCTTCCTGGAACGACAGCTCGTCCTCCTTGTCGGCTGTGTAGTCGTAGATGGCCACCACTGGAGGGCGACAAACGCAGAAAAACATTATTACTGTTAAACGGCAGGGCTCCCGGGACACACCCGCACGCTTTAGAGTCTGAACTACTGCAGCTGGATGCATTTGTACCAATGACTTCTTCCTCTTAACT